ATTGTTCTATGATTTTAACGAAAGTAGGAATCGAAACATGTATACAAGAAGTCCCCGTTGAATAATGTTTGTTAATGAAAGTACAGTCCGTACAATATTTGTTGAGATAGAATTCGAAGAAACGGATAAGCCAATAAAGTTCTGTTATAGGAACTACTGTAACAATTTACCGCGGCAGGGGCGTGTCTTGAAATTTTCCGCCAATGTCCTTCTACATAGGATGTCGAATGTAATGCAGGGGCGTACCTTGAAATTTTCCGCCAATGTGTTTCTACCTTAGGTGTCGAATGCGGTTAAGTCCAAGAAACTGGCGCACGGGTCTTCTTGGAATACTATTACAAAAAATATCGTACGGACTGTAATCCACTTTACTGTGTATGAGGATGTATGATTTTCTCTAATAAGGATTAGTTAAGATTTTTTGTGAAACTTATGAAACATAATTAAAATGTGAACATTTTTGATAGTTTAAAAGACTTGATGTTTAATATTTAGTGAAATGATTTGCCTATGATTTATAATAAATACCTTAATTTGTTGGGATTTTCACTACCTATACCTATGTATGAAATTTGAATCAATAATGAGTAAATAATAACAAAATTTAATAACAAAACTATAAATCAAAATAATTATATTTAGCCCTTATATTTTATTGGTTGCCTACATAATTTTAGTTAGCTAGTAAACATATTACGATTTTTTCCAATTTTTTTGGAAATAAAGTTTATCTAGTCAATAGGATTCTCTCGTGTTAGGTAATCTATTAGATTTAGTAAATACAGTCTTTGTTTTAAGTTCAACACCTTTTCCCGATTTTTTTTTAATTTTTTTTAGACGTTTTGTAATAAGTCCATCATATATTTGTGAATTAAAAATACATAATATGCGTCATAGTTTTCTAATTAGACACAGCAAACCTATATTATAACAACAATTTTTTACTCGTATTTTATTAAATGCTGAAGTAATCGTCTTATTTTACACCTCATTAAAATTACAATTATATTTCTTATGTATTACATACTGCAAAAGAGGTTATACAATAATCAATAGTGTATTTTCAAAGTCGTATAACTTAAAGGTAACATTTAAATGTAGAAAATATAATGTACTTTAACTTAGCAGACATAAAAATTATTTTATTAAACTTTTCCAAATAAATTTTCCAAAATACGTATATTCTTTCAATTTTAACTTTTGATACGTATGTTCTGCAACTTTGTGTTTCCCCTACTTAGAAATGCCTAATATCTGCAACGAATAGAATAAATAATTCTGAACTTACATTGTATTATTTTTTACTCTGTATACAGGGTGTTTCCGCAATAAGTGTGTTCCTTCAAAATGGTGATAAGGGGCACGATAAGCAACTTTTATTAAGTAACTCATGGTCTAAAACATTACGTTTTATATTGAAACAAAAAAAAAACACATGAAGGTTTAAACAAATTTAAAGACGTCCCTGGTGCGACAGGCAACTGTACCTTTGATATCGAAGCTGCTGCGCGTCGTAGTGCGAAAGCGCTCATGGCGGTTTTGAGGTTTAAATGTTTAAAAATGCTGAAATTTATTCAAACCTCGTTTAAAAGTAACACAAAAATTGAACTAATAGACGAATTACTTGCCAATAGACGATATACTCTACGAAAATTGTTCAAAGTTGTTTCCATGTGAAAATAAACATGCTTCCAATCAACGGTCAAAATTCTGTCACCAAAAACACTACACCACACATTCACTGAAAACCGCTGCTGGAATCGAGATCTCTGTACAACGTGAGGATTTGCATCACACCAATAAACATTTTATACGCCGCCTAAGTAATACTGCAATACACAACGCACGTGCACAAGATGCACAGGGTCGATTTATGGTTAATTTGTTTAATTAATTTTCTCAAAAACAGAAGCGTTTAGACTTTCAGTTGCTTAATAAAAGTTGCTCATTTTCATCACCCTCTTCAAGGAACTCACATACTTCAGGAACACCCTGTATATTCAAAGGTGTTATTGCGCAAATTCTGCCTTATAAAATTTGTGAAGATAAACTACAATAAATGTGAAAATTCTTTAACTTTAGCCCTTTGTTATTTATTATAATTACTGCACTTAACAACTTTTACCAGAGATAACCCTATTACAGTCATCTCGCAATGTTAAACATCTCGATAGAAGATGGCCTGGTAATAGGAATAACAGACTAAAGCGTATGACATATTGGGCGGACAGAATCATTTCATGTCTTTTTAGAATATTTCCGACATAATTAATCAGTTTTACTTCAAACGTTCTTATAAATGATTGAAATTTCAAAATGCTAAATTACACAGCCCCACAAAAAAAAGAACCGAACCGGGAATCAAAACCCAGGAATTCCAAGGAATTTTTTTCCCCGAAACCCAAACCGCCCTCAAAATTGGCCCAAACGAGCCGAAATTTCCGGAAAAATCAAAAAAACAGGTCAATATTCACAAAAAACGTAATTTATTATAAACGAAAGTTATAAAAAAGTTATAAAAAATCAAATTATTCTACCAGCTCACTAGACGTATGGTCTTTCACTAGAATTCCAATTTATCATCATAGAATCAGACAAGCTGGACCAATTTCATTCAAAAATAGGAAATAGATTAAAAACGACATTTTCATGGCATAATTCGTGTTGCAGAGTTCTGGATCCATCTTTTTATCCACCCACCCATTTATGAATTCATACATCTTTCTGTCCAGTCGTTCATGCATGAATACGCATATTTATTCATCCACCTGTACCACCTATGAAACCCACCCATCCACCCATCTATCCATCTACTTTTTGTACTGAGAGATGAGATAACAGCCTAGAAGATTGAGAATGCAATAAAACTTGTAGAATACTCTACTTTATAAACAAAAGAAAACATCCCAGATCTTGGAAATCTTTTATCATTTTTGATACAATTTCTTCGTATTTAGGACTCTTCTTGTTTCCTAAAAAATTAGTCGCTACAGCTTTGAAACTAGTCCAAGCACTCTTCTCAATGCTACTCATTGTAGTGATGAATGTTGCATCCTTGAACAATGTCCTAATCTGAGGTCCATCGAATACACCTTCTTTCAATTTCGCCTCAGAAGTATTCGGAAATTTTCCCTCTATATAGAGCGAAAATTTTTTTAGGAAACAACAAGAGTCCTAAATACGAAGAAATTGTATCGAAAATGATAAAAGACTTCCAAGATCTGGGATGTTTGATGAACTACAAGTTGCACTTCCTTCATTCACATCTGGATTGGGTTCCTGAAAATCTTGGAGATTATATCGAAGAACAAGGCGAACGATTTCATCAGGATATGAAGGTTATAGAACAGCGATATCAAGGAAGATGGGATGAAAACATGATGGCCGATTTTTGTTGGTTGTTAAAAAGGGAAACGAAAAATAGAGGAGCTAAACTAAAGCGTAACTCTTTGCATAGATCCTTTGAAGAAAAAGAACACGTTATAGCATCAAGAATAATAATGATTTGTAGATATTGTTTTCTTTTGTTTAGAAAGTAGAGTATTCTATAAGTTTTATTGCATTCTCAATCTTCTATGCTGTTATCCCATCTCTCAGTACAAAAAGTAGATGGATAGATGGGTGGATGAGTGGGTTTTATAGGTGGTACAGGTGAATTATAGAAAGATGTATGAATTCATAAATGGGTGGGTGGATAAGAAGATGGATCCAGAACTCTGCAACACGAATTATGCCATGAAAATGGCGTTTTTAATCTATTTTCTGTTTTTGAATGAAATTGGACCAGCTTGTCTGACTCTATGATAATAAATTGGNAGGGCGAAAATTTTTTTAGGAAACAACAAGAGTCCTAAATACGAAGAAATTGTATCGAAAATGATAAAAGACTTCCAAGATCTGGGATGTTTGATGAACTACAAGTTGCACTTCCTTCATTCACATCTGGATTGGGTTCCTGAAAATCTTATATCGAAGAACAAGGCGAACGATTTCATCAGGATATGAAGGTTATAGAACAGCGATATCAAGGAAGATGGGATGAAAACATGATGGCCGATTTTTGTTGGTTGTTAAAAAGGGAAACGAAAAATAAAGGAGCTAAACTAAAGCGTAACTCTTTGCATAGATCCTTTGAAGAAAAAGAACACGTTATAGCATCAAGAATAATAATGATTTGTAGATATTGTTTTCTTTTGTTTAGAAAGTAGAGTATTCTATAAGTTTTATTGCATTCTCAATCTTCTATGCTGTTATCCCATCTCTCAGTACAAAAAGTAGATGGATAGATGGGTGGATGAGTGGGTTTTATAGGTGGTACAGGTGAATTATAGAAAGATGTATGAATTCATAAATGGGTGGGTGGATAAGAAGATGGATCCAGAACTCTGCAACACGAATTATGCCATGAAAATGGCGTTTTTAATCTATTTTCTGTTTTTGAATGAAATTGGACCAGCTTGTCTGACTCTATAATGATAAATTGGAATTAAACGAGTGAAAAATCAGTGAGCAGTGAACAATTTTGACCTGTTTTTTTAATTTTCCCGAAAACTCAGACCCGTTGGGCCAAATCTGAAGGCATATTCGGATTCAGCGGAAAAAATACATGGAAATACATGGGTCTGAATACCAGATCCGATACTTTTTTTTGTGGGGCTGCGATTATTAAAAATTTAACTTATTACATTTACTTGCACAGTGCAAATTCATCATGCTAATGGATACCGAAAATGATCAAACTTTCAGGAAATCGCCCCATCCGTTAAAATTGAACATTGCGTTAAGGCATCTCAAAAATGTAAACACCAACTGGTTCCCCCCTCATCTCCCAGAAAATCGAACCGATGCAGCTCGGCTAACGTTCACTAGAGAAAGCTTTTCTCCTGATTTCTTCCTTGCATAACAAACGCCGCGCCGCTCGCCTTGTGCAACGATCAAGAGCGCGGATGGGAGGCAGACCGCGAGTCGATCTCAGTTGGCCGCGACGACACCACCGAGAATTAAATAGCGTTTTGCGAGCAAAAAACTGTCAGTGTGACTCTGCGTTGTTGATGGAGTAGGTCAGTTTCGCGGTGTTCTTCCTTTTCAAAGAGTAAAGCAGATTGGTTTATTGAGAGTAACAGTGTTTTGTTTTGACTTGAGTTTTCAGTGGATTTTTTTAGACCATCCCAGTGGTATGTGAAGTTATTGTAACCCAGTTCTTCGACTTTCTCTTCGTGTGTTTATCAGCTTGGCGGGGTACATGTTTCTTATCATGTATCTTCAGTCCATGACTAAAGTATCCACTTAAAAGTATTTTGAAATCTCTATTTTTTATGTTTTAGAAACATAACACAAAAAAATTAGTGTTAAAGATTGTTTTACTATATTTTAAAAATAAAACTAAGCTACCACCCTTGCGGGGTCCATCGAGGGTATTATCTGGACCTTTTGTGTTTTTAAACTTATTTTAAATTATTCAAATTTATTTAACTGCTTTATTTTTACATTACTTTCCATTAACGCGAAAGTCGCACATTTCTGTTATCCAAACTCTTCAAAAATATTGCTAAAATCCAAGAGTTTTCGACTTTTCTGAATCTTATAGCATCACTGATCATTTCAACCCAATAATTTATATTTTGTTAAAAGGTGTATGTACAAGATGTTCCTCAGATAAGTGCAAAAAATTTTGAGAGTAGTTTTACTTATAAAATTAATAGTAGAAGTTCCTATGATACTTTTTCGAAATTCAATAATGACGGAGTTACATAACCTCATTTTTGTAATTAATAATATTTATTTGTAGCAACAAATTACACCTACGAAAAAAAAATCATCAAGTTGGGGATCCTTAAAGGGATTCAATGGTTTTTACTGGAAAATAGATCAAAACTTTTTGTTTGTGATTTTAAAAACCAAACAGCTTAATAATACATAAAAATATTTTGCAAAAATTTCAAGAATATCCTCCATATCGTAAACATTAACAGTTTTCAAGAAAGAACGAACTCATTAAATTCAAAACACAGTTAAAATGTATCTATTTTGCAGTATAAATAGAGCAGGATTTTTACATAAAACATATTTTTTACACAACCGTTAAGTATTAAAATCCGCATAAAATTTTTAACTTCCATGAATTAAAAGAAAACCTTATGTTTGATGATGTTCATTATCAAGTTATTTATTATTTTGAAACACTTTTTATAAAAATTCGTGATCAAGTTCCTAACCGATTTACCGACAATTTAAATACTTTAGGTCTCTAGAATATTGGTGATATTTTTTTATAGGCGCAGTCTGTCATTAATAATACATTAATTACTTTGAACTTATGCAACTAACGCTGTTAATATAAAAGGTGTTACAAACTTAAAGAGGATATTTTAAGAGTAAATAAATCGAGGTGCGAAAATTCGATTCGCAGAAATATTATTTGCAAATAGAATATATCTTTTTAATATCTACTTATCACATTGATACTATGAACACTTTTTTGGAGCTGCTGACTCCATCGATAGCTTTGACTCTTACTACAAGTATTGGTCTATATGTAAATTACTGTACAGGGTCATATTTTTTTTACTTTTCTATTTAGAAAAAAATAGTCGAAAAGAAGAAGTCGTAGTAAATTTTCCAGCTATATGAAATAAGTACAGAAAAAAAACAATTAAATGTTACGTTTTTCAGATATAAACCAAAACTATGGGTTTTTGAGATAAAATATTGATAGTACTGTGCTCACTATTTTCTTCCTCAGGTCATATAAGTTATTATGTCATTCTTCCAGAGTCTTTCAACTGAAAGAACTTCTTGGGGGTAAATCAGGGCTTCCTGGGGAATATAAAATTGTCCTTCTATAAGAGATTGAAATCAATGTCCTTTGTATAGAACAGGATATATACATGTTACGTATTTGCTTCAATAGTTTGCTTAATATTTTTGGTATATTTACTGACAATGCACAATGGACAGTTATGTACAATTTGAAACAATGGTAATACAATGTGACAGTTCTAATAAAGTAACAATAGTTGCGCCTGAATAGAGCTAAGCAATTATTTTTATACTTAGCATTAAGAAAAAGAACGGTATTTTCCAGTGTTATGTTTCATGTGAAAAGAAAATAATAAAGAGTGTTATATAATAATCCCATCTTATTCTGAACAAAGGACATTGTTTTAACTCTCTTATAAAAGGACAATTTTATAGTCCGTATCTGTGGGGGATACTGGAAGATAAAAATAAACAAAGAACGACTTAATAACTTATATCTTAAGGAAGAAATTGTTGAACGCAGTATCAACTATCAAAGAGATGATCTTTGCCTAGAACATAATGACAGATTACTTTTTATTTGATATTATTCCAAGAACTTAAAGGATTGTTAGTTTTAACAGTAAAGAGCATACGCAGGTACTGATTCCATGGCAACCTTGATTTTATCCATAGTGAAAAGTCAGTAAATAAACTAAAATAATGTGCAAACTGTGAAAACAAATATTTATACATAATCATTAAAAAATACAGAAAAAGATAGACATATAACATATGTATATACATAACACAAGTATGGATTTACTTGTTTGATTTATTAAGATCCCGATCCTGTTATCATTTTTTAAATAGAATGGTAAAAAAGTGGGATAGAATGAAACGCGAGGATCTATATATAAAGATATGTAACTAACTTCAAGTTTTCACCACTGTTTCCATACAACACTATCATGTTCATTAATTCATTTTTACCATTTACCCCTTTTTATGTAGTATGTAAGCCGGGAACGATTCCAGAAGTTCTCAATCTGTTATAACAATTTTTATATTCATTAATAATTTTAAGCGCCGTTTTGCAGTTTCCACGATTTTGGTTATTGAAAATTATTAGACATTACAATATTACAAACAATTTAAATAAACCTGAAACACAATCTGAACATTTCTTTTCTCCTATTTAGCGATGTTTCGTTTTCCGTTATGACGAGTTAACATTTATCCACTCAGGTCGTCAGCTTCACTACTGACAAAGAGATCTCTCTGTTTTGCAAGTTGTATTTTTAAGTTTTTGTGTTTTTAAATAAAGACGTACTTCTGTGCGCAAGCAATTATTAAATTTCTCCAAATCAACGATTAAATAACAGTTTTCAGAGAAGTAGGATAACCTTAAGTCGGTCAGTGAGGTGTTAACGAGTTGCCCAATGTTCTTGAAATAAGAGAAAATTACACTTGTCAGGATTTTATTTTGCTGATCTAGATTTTAATGTCAAAATGCACCGTCAACAATAATTGCGATATTTACTTTCAAAAATAATATACATTTTCATAATTTACAACATGTAGGCAGATCCAGTGCTGTAATTTTGAAAAGACTACATCAAAATTGATGAAAATTGATGTTTGCTTTTAAAATAATACATACATACTTGTATTTTTGCTTTTTCATAGCATTACATTATTACAGTATTTGAATATCCAATTATGTTTTAAAAGATGACAAACTTTGGACACTTTTAAGGTACCAATGTGCTAGAGATATTGTCAGTTTATTTTTAAGTTTAACACTATTTGTAATAACAGGACTATTATTTAGGTTTTTCTTCAACGCAAACGTTGGCTAATCAGTGTTCTGCTATTTATTTTTTTAAGAGATGTGGCAAAACGTCAAATAAAAAAGTCTATTTGCAGTCTATCGCTATATTTCATTCAGGGTTTTTATTTAAATGAACAAACAATTTCAAACATAATTATTTTTCAGAACCCATCGACCTATTACGTAGTTTTTTTGAGGAATATGATTTCTTCACTGAATTTATAAGCGAGAACTTCAACCGACGTAATTATTGTGAGAAGGCCAAGTTCAAGCCACTGCGTTTGGTTTAAAGTGTCACGCGCGTTATTTCGCAGACATATTTTGCAATGCCAGCTTTTAATTAGCTGGAAAAAATGCTGCACTAAACTTCGACTGATGTTGCAAAATTTCGGGTTAAAAAGTGCATATTTTAGTTAGATTAATGAGGTTTCGAACATATACGAGTATATACAGGATACTAACTGTTTGTATTGCTTTTTAGTGACTGGATTTTGTCTTAATTTTTGCGATGACGAAAACCAAAATGTCAGTAGTCGGTGTGTGATCTAAATTTGAGTTTTTGTTAGGTTTTTTTTCAATACTAAATTATTTTTACTTTCAAATATGAAGAGTTCGATCAAAATCCACTATGTCATGGCCGTAGGAGTTATATAATTATAAAAATGTAAAATTACCTAACACAATTTGACACTGCTCAAAGTAAATATTTGATATTGTTTTATTTTTTGTTCAAATACTAGAGTATCAATTTAAAATTATTTAAACTGCTATAATACAGGATGTAAGAAGTTTAATTGCCATTACTTTAACATGAGATAGAAAAGAATAAAAAATGAACAAAAAAGTTGTATATTACAGGGACTTCAGATTAACAGTTTTTAAAATACAGCGAGTATTAATATTAGGGAGTTTCATCACAACACACCACACCATCACACAGGAAATGCAATGAAACGGGCTCCTAGCCCCTCCCCCACTTCTCTATGCCTTTTGATGGGCTAAAATTTTCGGTAGGTCACTCAGGTACATAAGTTATCTTAAAATAGCAATAAATAGGCATCTACGTTTATAATTTAAAGAAGATTCTACAACTTTCTCAACATATTGTAGATGTCTTATTAAATATTAACTTTATAACTTATTTGGTTGTTAATTATAATAGTATATTTCGACTTGTAATTTTTTTGTTTATCAATGTAACATGGAATCTTACATTTTTCGAGTAATTAAAGTGTAAATTTTAATAAATAGCTCAAAATTGTACATAATGATTAGAGAAAAATTTTCGGATTCTAGTTTTTTTTCGTTTCTTTGCATTTCATGAGAAAAGTTACCATAATAATGTATATTTTTTTACACCATCAGAAAGTAGAGATTTCAACGAAGAAAAGATATTTTGACGTGAGAATTTTCGATTGAAAATTAGGGTGCTTTTTCGATATTAAGTAAAAATAAGGTGAAAAAATAAATATTTCAAATCAAAAAAATTACAGCGTGTTTGGGACATAAATAGGTGTTTTCACCAAATTTCTTAAAAATTTTTGTAAAAGAAAAATAAAAAAACCAAAAACTTGGTTGTTTGAATTTTTCACATAAATTTTGAGGTTATGTGAAAAAAGTGTAAATACAAAAGTTGTAGATCTTTTTATTACCTACAACTTTGCCATTTAATTTTTTTCCATAAGACTTGTAGTTTTTCCGGAAATCAAGGGAAACCGTTTTTTACCCTTAAAAACTCACCCCCTTCCCCTTCCCGACCTCAGATCGCCCGTAAATTATTTTTCCTTTCATTTCTGTTATATTCTCTTTCTTTTGCAATGGGTTTCATCCTACTATAATTTTTTTTGGTTTCACAAATTATCGACCCTGGTCTACTATCAAGTTTGAATCTCTGTGATTATTTTTACTTGAGGAGCAATAAATTACATGAATTCATCCATACATTAATTAAAATCTTTAATTGTACCAATAAAAATGGGTAATTGAGTGGCACGACAGTATTTACTTTTACTATGTATCCTGCCAAATCTAGAATTTCGTCGCCGTACCTATACGGAAATATTAGAAAACGTGACACCAATTTAAACTGGATGCACACCTTTGCCAACACAACAAAACGCATCTATTTTATTCCATTAGCGGACCATAAAGCTAATGTATAAAAAATGTTAATTACACGCATAATTACAAACACTTGCATCAAAGATAATACGCAAAAAGTCTACCCTTGACACAATTAATTGTGTAATTGTAGTGGCTTTAATAGATACATAGTTATAGTTACATTATGAAACGTCTAAAAAAGTGTTATAAACAACGGTTATTGACTTTATCAGCTAATTACAGATAAAATAGTGTGTGGATGAGTCCTTTTTCCATACTAGGACTTTTTACCATAATTACTGTAATTTCAGATGCAATAATTCCGCTCCTATTCCTCCAAATGTCATGAAATTTGGAGAGTACATCAGTGAAGGATCTACCTTTCTAGCTCATGTAATTGCTAATAGAAATTCTCATTAGAAATACTTACCTATTTTTGAAAAGTCATGTTTACTTTGGAACACACCTTTTACATCTTTTCATAATATTTAAAACGTATCCGAAGACATTACTAATCGGAAAAACGTTACTAATGTTATTTACAGGAGACCTTGAAATAAATTGGTCCTAAAATAGAGCCCTGAAGCACTCTACGTAATTAATTTGTCACTTTTTATATATTTTTTGGATTATAGTGATCTGGAAGTGAAGTTTAAAAACTTTTGTTTCTAAAACATAAAATGTAAACAAGTTAAAACAGTCTCAATACCTGATAATTAAATTATGTCACGACCTCACTCACCTTACCAATTAGTAGACTTTAACGATATTTTTTCCATTTCAGGAACTGGTCATGTGTAAGTGTCAACTGGCTGATTGCGTAATATCCACAGATCTCAAATAGCGAATACTGACGAAGCTGTGTGTATGTGTGCTAGAAAAAGATAATGGGACTGTCATATGTCCAGGTGCTGTGTGCAGTTTTCATTTCTTCAAGGATCGCCGAAGCGGGGATATTGGATACCCTTAACTGGGCCAGATCGGATAAAATCGAGGTTAACCTACCTTGGCTGCCGTGTAAGTAATATTAAGCTTAGATATTGGATTTCAGTTTCGTTTTTCACTGCATGAATAGTATCTAAATACTCAGAGAGTATTAAAAGACCATTTAGCTGCTAAAATGAAGAGGGGAAAAAAGAAGCGAAATAAATCAATCCTTATTTTAACTTCAGGAAAACCTAATATATATTGAAACACCCTGTACATGATTTTAAAATAGTGTTGAATATCAAAGGGCGGAAATGTTTGGTCAGAATCAATCGACACGTGCCGCTTGTTATAATTAGATACAAAATTGCAAATAATCACTTGAATCATTTTGTTATCTGAAAAATATTAATATTACATACATCCGGTCAACTGATTAATGTTGTGACAAAAACAGAATAATTGCAATGCGTTACTCATGATTAAAACTAGATAAAATTATAGATATTAACATAAATTTTAATTTTTTCCGATAACTTGCCCGCAAGATGTTAATATAATTTGCGTCAACACTCCTAATTATTGACAATACATGCGGGTTTTAGTTCAGGAATTACTAAATGCGAACTATACTCGTCATTCGGTGCTAAATTTGGAAACCGCAAAAGAAAACGATGAGAGAGATGGCAAATATTAATATTTTATTATTTCAACGCGATATCGTCGTAATATTTTTGAAAATGTATGAATAAAAAGCGGATTGGCGTTTCAAAATTATAGTGCAACAAAATTTAAAGAGCCGTTTTTATAAAGATTCGATCCGTACAATTACAATTTTTGTATCGAGATTTGTTAAAGTTTTTTTAAAGGATTTCCTGGGTAACTTAAACTACTAAAGGCAGAAAAAAAAACAGCTCGATTTTCAAGACAAATTCAATAATCAAATATTTGATTTGATCTTCGTTTGTTTTCGAGTTACAGGGCGATATTCACTTTTGTGATATTTTTAACCACCTATACCCCTAAATCAATTAGAAATAAAGTATATAAAAACTAGCCCATATTAATTTTTTATTAAATTTCATGATTTCATAATGGTACAAACATATTTTTTGAAGCAAGTTGTAGTTTTCTATGACTTGAAAAGATACAGAATGTTTTCTATTTTCCAGTGATTACGTTATAGTTATTTCTGCAAAAATGGAACCAGGTCGTTTATATACAGGGTGTTTGTAAATAAGTGCGAAATATTTTAGGGAGTGGTTGCCGAAGTTATTTTGTGAAAAACAGTTCATATAAACGTAGATCGAAATATGTTTCGTTTCCGAGATATAGAGTGTTTAAATTTTAATTTTTTATTTATTTGTATTAATTATTTCAGAGTTTTAAAGATATTGACTCGAAATTTGAAAAACGCTTTGGAGGGATAAATGGGCATTTTTTGGGAAGATCTGAATATTTCTACTTCCATCAGTGGCGTTCCTGCGAGAATGGCACAACTTTTTTAATAAAAATAAATGGTACGCCACTGACTTTTTCCCGTTTTGAAATTATTTTAGAAATTTGCCATCAATTCTGAATAAAATTGGTCTCTTCAATTTGTTACGTAGGATGCACCGTTTTTGAGTAAAAAAATAAAACATATTTTATTTAAGGGTCTCTTTTAATAAAGCGTGGTCAGTCAACATTGAAAATAAAAAGTTGGTATGAATGTGGGTAAAAATTCTTCGATTTCGAGATACAGGATGTTCAAAACTCTTCGAAATAATTAATAAAAATAAATAAAAAATTAAATTTTACACTTTGTTTCACAAAATAACTTCGGCAACCACCCCTTAAAATATTTCGCACTTATTTACAAACACCCTGTATAAATGAAATATATGTGTGGCGTCACAAAAAATTAAATTTTTTTGTGAAGGAGGATTTTTCTTATTTTCTTTTCCTAGGTTTTGTAAAATCATATTTATTCACTGTAAATTACTTTTACATCAAAATAAATTCTAATTAGAGGGGGTAAATTGGTAAATCATTTGTGACGGTCTATGTAATCGTAAATTTTCATTACAGCTAACTATTATACAGTACATTGTGATTCAAAAATTATCCTAAAAATTTTTTTTGAATGTGCAGAGGAATCTTTAAATTAATAAGAATTTGATACCAAAGATGAGATACCTTAAAATATAAAAAAGTTATGACGTGTTTAACACGTTCAATCTACTGCAGCTAGCGCCCTCTATGAACTTTAACCAAAATGTGAACACATTTCAATTCCTCTACTTAAAGAACTCCAAACCTCAAAATTTTGTGAGGATATTTGCATTTGTTAAGGAATAAATGAAAAAAAACTAAAATAATATTTTACATTTAACACCCTGTATCTCTTTAACTATCAACTTTTGGACTAAGGTAAGTTCGGCTAAATCGCAATATTTTTGCTTCGAGAATCTACCCATGAATTTTGACCTATTAGATCGGGACCACCCTGTATACAATTTTTTTGTAATTGTATAAAAAAATAAATTTAAATTAGTCATATTTATTTTGAAATTTGAGAAATTTAAACAAATTTTTTTTTATTCATATATTTTTTTTATTAAATATAAATTTTTCTTCTACATCATGCGTAAGTATTGAAACAGCAAAATATCGTTTAATTTTGTCGAACAAGCAAAAAAAAACGATAATTTTGTCGGACAATTAAATTCTCAGATTAATATTGCATTTTTTTAAATAATAACGCTTTTGTCCGACAGCTGGTTATCACCAACCATGTTGTCGTTAATTCGACATCTTCGGGGCGTCGGACTGCAAAAACTTCTCAAGACAATAAGATACTTTTGTGGGACAATAAGATACTTTCATTTCAAATCTTATTACCAAACACTCCCAGAAAAATCAGCTTGCTGGTTGTCACATCAACCATAATGTCACGAAATCGACATATTTGGGGTGGGGGACAAACTCAAAATACCAACCTTTTTGTCGGACAAATTTTTTGGGGGGTTTAAAAAAATATATCTTTCATTTAAACTTAAAAAAAGTGCTGGTCATAACATTCCATGTTTATGCCAGATTGACATGTTTCCCTGAAAATCACGGGAAAACTGACCACTGTTGAATTTTCCTCGTAGTCAAATCTTGGGAGACTCGTCAAACTTAAGCTGCACGCAAAGTTACAGCTTGCTGGTAATCATTTTTTTCTTTGTACGTGGGCCCGTGGACTATTACTTATCATTTGATACAATAATCATTCTACTGTCCATTTTACATTTTACTGAATTTTCGGAGAGTTCAGTTAAACTTATGGATAGTTAGCTCAATAATAGAATCTACATAGTTTGTAGAAACTGATAAAGGAAAGTCTTCTCGGGGTGTCGTTTCACGTGGTGTACCCCAAGGTATCTCCTTGGACCACTTTTATTTAGTATATATTCAAATGATTTGTTTTGTTGTTTACAAAATAGTAAGGAATACTATGTACTTAGATGATACTTTATATATTAGTTTATTTGTCCTTCAAATCAAAAGAAATAACTCATGCCAAAATGGCCTTAAATGTGAACATTAGTAGCTTAGTTGAATTCTCTGTAAAACATCGCCTTGGCATATATATTATAAAATCTGTTACGATATTTGGTAAACCACACATTAACAAATGTATTCAAATGGCTTAAGAGTAATATGAAAATGTTATATGATTTGGTTCATAGTCAATTTAATTATTGGAACGTTGTTTATGGTCTTTGTTTTAATAAAATAGAAAACAATAGAATGGAAAAGTTGCTTAAGGTTCATTTGTCGCATCAGGAAGTTTAAGCCTAACTCTTATAATTTAATTGACGCTAAATGGGTAACTATGTAGAAAGGAAGGAGAATCTTCATGCTGTTGTATTATTTTATGGTTTATTATGTTACGGTTTATTATTTTACAAGTGTCCTGCATATTTAATAAATACTTAATATATATAATATAAGTAATAATTATATATAATAATAATATATAAATAAGTAAAAACTTATTGCATATATGTCCATTTATGTTATAGGGGTCTTTCTTGTATCAACTACCACACGTAGATCCTCAATTTTTGTAGATCTTTTTTTTATAATATTTATAAATCATATAGTGCTGTTCCAACAGATACTAAATTATTTAGTCCTGCAACTTTCAAAATTAAATTTATGGAATACATTTTTAGTCATGCTTTCCTTGTTTGTACCAACACTTTTCTTTGCAGTTGAAAATGAGACCAGGTGCTACGAAGAACTGGGGTGCCTCAATATCACCCGGTCCTGGTATCACTTGATCAACAGGCCATTCAACGTGTTCCCATTGCCCCGATCTGTGATAAACACTAGGTTTATATTGTACACGAGACTTAACCCTTCAGAGGTAAAGAATGACTTCACATTTTGCTCTTCGATTCCTAAATGGCATTCTTTTTCAGGGTCAGCTGATAAGAGCGAATAATCAGTCTATAGAGAGGTCCAACTTGGACATCAAGAAGAAGATAAAGTTTATTATTCATGGGTTCATAGACACGCCTTTATCAAATTGGGTGAGTAACATTTTTAATGACGTAAACATTAATATACAGGCTGTCCCGGAAAGGTTGGAATACTGCTTGCGATAGACTTCTGGACTTCTGGATATGATGATTTAGACCTACTTACGTATACCAACTCTGTCACTTAAAACTGCCCAAGGTTCTATCTCCTGTAATCTTTAAAACTTCCTAACAATCCGAGATATTAGTGTGTCGATATTTTCAAGACTTTCTGACTATGAAAAGAAAGTGATATATGTATTATTAACAAAACGGCAGCTGTTGAAAATTTCCTTCTCCGTGAGATTTTTTTTCCTTATTACTTCATTGTATAAAAATCAGAAACTATCAAAGAGGGCCTATATGGTTAGAATGGAGCAGTTAAAAAATTGAAAATTCCTTTGCTAGTTTTTGAGATTTTAGGAAAAATATGAAATTTCCAGACTGATTCTATCATTTTTCGGATTTATTTGAATTTATACGAATACTTTTTAATGCCATTTTGTTTCTCTGTTTAAATATAAAATGTAATTTTTATTACAATCCATTAATATTTTCACGACATTGTACTTTTAATTTTTTCCGAGTACAATGATGAATATTTTAGGTATTGTTTAGTGACGTTTTGTCAATATTATTTTTCTTTAAAAATATTTATTAACGAGGCATAAATAATTTTAGTGTAGATTTCATTCAAATACAAATTTAATTTCGTTAATATGTATTTATTTTTTGATAATTTAAGATGGTGTCTGATATATCTGAAAAATTGGAAGGAAGTGTGATATATTTAATAAAAATTATACTAACAATGATTGCTGACAGACGAAACGTAATAAAAATTTGATCCTATATTTGAATAGATGGTGAACTTGATAACAAAAATGGATATCGACCCCTTTTTGGCGTCAAGATGTAGTTATTTTTATTCTCTTTAAACTAACCTATAAAAAGTTGTATCCTGCTATTTCACTTTCATAAGAAAACATGAAACAACCTAAACTTGGATAAATAGCGCCAATAAATAAACTACACTTTCGTTAGAAATTTCAAACTAATACTTTATTCATCAATTTTTTATGCTAAATTCGTGTAAAGAAAACTATAGCATTGTATTTAAAATTTTTGAGAAAAATATAAACACGGCCTCCTTTTGAAATAACTAGTTAGTTAGGCTAAATTATTCGTTTCAACGTGATGGAGCTCCATCACATTATGGTTTACGAATATAAAATTTAGTTATCTAAATGAAAACTTTCGAGACAGATGGATTGGAAGAGGTGTACCATGGCCTCCTAGATCACCAGATCTGAATCCCCTAGATTTTTCTTTTGGGGTTATTTAAAAGAAAAGATTTATAGTCCGTATATACGCTGCTGTCGCGCTAATAGACCAAGAGATGCTACAAAGTGTTCATGCTTCAATGTTGAATCGTGATAATCTTTGTCTTGAAGTAGAAGGCAACTTCTTTGAACACCTTTTGTAAAAACAATTTCTATTATTTAAGCACATTATGGTTTTAGTTTATGTTTTATTATTAAAATGTTTTTTTCTATCCTTTTCAGGTTAAAATAATTCCTTACACCTAGGTACAATCGACAATCAAAAACTGTACTTATATATATTGGTTATAAATTATATGTCTTGGTCCCCAAAAGCACAGACCTCAGTTTTGAGTAAATAAAATGAATTTTTACTTTTTTAGTTTTTTGAATATTTTTTGAATAAATCAACAACGGAAAATAATCGGAAAATTTTCCACTTTTGATATTCAATTCATTTTTGTCTCTTTAATCAAATTCCAGAAGGATGGGCGTCACATTTGGGACACCCTGTATTTGAATAAATTGGCAAATATGGTCCTCATACAATGTTTTTTAAGTTTTGTACAGCTTTTCAAATAAATCTATAAATACTAAATAGTGGGCGTGAATTTTTGCACATTGCCATTGGTTTAAATCAGAGGTATTCTAATTGTGTTCCTCGGAACCCTGGGGTTCCCCACAATCTCTCTGGAGGTTCCGCGACTCTGCCACAAATTAATGCAGAATTTGAAATGCGATAGCAACTTACGATAATAGCGCCTGATTTCAACATATTATGTAAAAATATTCAAGCACATCCCAGTCATTAATTTTATATATTTACTCTTTTTTAGAGTATCAAATAAATATTTACTTTAAACTTTAAAGTCTTAGTTTAATTTTTAATTCCATTAGTGGAATATTTATTTTGATAATCTTAGTATCTATAAATAGATTATAATCAGTAAAAAATGTTTTCGAAAATTTTTTTAGGTACTTCTAAAAAATTGAAGTGTTGGCTTCCAAAAGGTCTCAAGTATAATTAGTTTTTAGATTTTCCTTTATACCTATATACCTATATACCTATATACCTATATAAGGCGTTTTTCAAAATTTTTCAATCAGTATTATCTTTAGTTAACCAACTTTCTTAAAGACATCCTACTGAATTTTCATATGTGCGGTGTATAAAAAATATCTACGTAAAATAATACGTAGGTAATTATGTTTTATTCTGCGTAATATTTACAAAAAACCCTTAGGATTTTTCAATCAACTTACTAATAAATTAATATTTAATTAATACCTCTTTAATTATGTATTAATTGCGAAATATTAAATGTTATTTTCAGAAAATTGGCAATTTTATAAATAAATTAAAATCTTTCCACGGTCATAAGTTCCTTGAATAAATACATATTTTTTTATGTAGGTACGTTAATCAAACTAAAAATTATAAGCGTTTTCATTAAAATCGAATCGAATTTTATTATCTTCCTAAATCGAGGCTTCAATAGTAAAAATACTATTTTATATAGCAAAATTCTATCTTATGAGAATGATATATTAAAATATATCTCTATCTCTAAAGAGAATCGGTCTCTCTCAGACTCGGTCTGGCTCTTTCAGGGGCCGCACTATGTATCATTTTTTTTGTTTGTACAAAAATCAAATATCTTGACTCAGAGAGGAAATAAAAATATGAGCCTGGTTGCAAATGAAAGCTGAATGGATGTAGAATATGGAATATGACTGAGACGATTTTTTTTCTATATGACCTTCGAATTACTAGGCAAAGTCTATGCAACCCAAAAATTTTATGGATTTTTCTAATTATATCGGTCCTAATTCTCTTAAAATTTATTCCAATGCACACGATTTTGTACAATTTGGCACGGCAATTCCAAATTTGGCGTCAAAAATTTTCTATCATTTTTCTAACGCTAGCAAAGTCTCTCCAAAGTCGGTATTATTTTCAAGCTTTTTGACACTGTTAAGCAAGAAAATTATTCACAAATTAAAGATTAATTATCAACCTGGGTTTCTGTTTTTTATATTTTACACATAAATGTCAAATAAACACACTGTAGAAGGTAAGCAGTGACTTATAGATAAATTTTAAGAGAATTAGGACCGATATAATTAGAAAAATCCATGAAATTTTTGGGTTGCATAGACTTTGCCTAGTAATTCGAAGGTCATATAGAAAAAAAATCGTCTCAGTCATATTTTTCCCACATTCTACATCCATTTAGCTTCCTTTTGCAACCAGGCTCATATTTTTATCTACTCTCTGAGTCAAGATATTTGATTTTTGTACAAACAAAAAAAAATTATACAAAGTGGGCCGTCGGAAAAATAGAAATCGGGGCCTATTTGGTTTTGTCTGTTATTAGGGTGCATATCGACTCTCCCAAGGAAAACTCGAATCTCAAATTTAATTATACTGATTGTGAGATAATTGCATTTGAATAGTTGAGAAAATAATATTATTCGTTATTTTTTTTATTACAAGTGCTAAATCGTTCTTCTTTAACAAAGTAATTATTGTTTAGGTCTTAATTAATTATTGAAGAATGATTTAAATAATATAGTTTAGGATAAGAAAAAAATGAATTTTGAATGAATTACTACAGTTTTCGTCGTCAAAATTTTTATTGAGAAACAACTTTTTACACTAATAAGAAAGGTACAGAGAAATTAAACATTTTCTATTTTTAGATAAAAAAAAAATTATTGTTAATAATCAATAATGACATAAAAGCAAAAATTACGATTCAGTCAGAGTCATCTTGGTCAATATTACTTTCTTCCTGGTGGTCAGCCTTACTAGCAGGCCGAAGGGAGTTGTAAAATCCATGATACATCGGTAGTATCAAATTAGCCTTACACAGACCCAAAAGACCGGTTAATTTTTTACCGTCAATTGGCAGCAAACCTTGATTGCGTGTGTTTTTTGTTTGTAAGTCTACTACTTTATGATTTTCTCCAAAATTATACACAAAAAATACTTTATTGGGATACTTTGGATCGCAGTGGACTTCTCTGCAGTAATATCTTTTTTTCCAGTTTTGTTTCTTTACCATTGGTTTAAAAGTTACAAAATCTTCAGAGATTTCTTTTACTTTGTACTGTGGGGCAGTAACTTTGGCCATTTTTATTACACTAATCCACTGATCAGGAGTGTATATAGCAGAGTGACGTTTTTTTGCAACTTCAATCACAGCATGCATGCTGTCATTTTAATTCTGCGTTTGGCCAATTTCAAGAAAATGGTGTGTTATTTCCAAATCCAAAGTCATTGACACATAAGCAAACATCGTAAAAACAAAACGATTACGGTTTTGACCACCACAATTGTCGGAATAAAGTACAACGTTTCGTATGCCATTTTCTTTAACACTTTTTAAAAGACCCATAAACAATTTCCAATTTCATCCGGTCCTCGTCGATATTTGCTCATATATAGCAATAGCCTTGATTGCTGCCTAAATCATAAATTGTAAAGTTGTATGTTGCGATTTTACTTTTATAATAAAAATCGCTGACTTCTGACTTGGGCGTTACTAACACCTTCTGCAAATCAAAGCATGCTGTTATTAGAGATTTATCATTTTTCGACAATTCTTTATCAATGTCTTTCAGATTTCGAACCTCGATTTTGTTTAAATTATGATTATTACAGTCATCTTCCATTTTTTCTGTTCTCTTCTCGGGATCTGTGTTCTTATAGGCACTACACATGGAACACTGATCTTTTTTTGGCTTAAAGAACTCTGAATTAAATTTCATTCAATTTTCATTTCTACGTTCTTTTTTTTCAATTTACGGTGGATTTACACAAAATTTTCTTATACTTTTGGCACCTCCTTAGTCGTTTGGGGGCCTAGGTTCCAAAATAAGTCGGGTTTTGCCGACTTCCCGACCTGGCCAGACCGGGCCTGGACTCTCTCTCGGGTTTCAAATGTGGATACTTTAGAAGAATTATTTTGTAATTTTTAACAGAAATTTTCTTATTTTGTTAAATTCTAACTGGAATAGGACGTTAAAGTATAGTACTTATTGGATACTATCTGACAAGCAAATATACCATCCAATTTACCTATTAACAATAAAGTCAAACCGTAATGCCACTTAAGAAAATGAACATTTAGTCATTCTCATCTACCCTGTTATCTTTAATTGAATAAAATATAAAAAATCTTAACCAAAATTACATTTCTCTTTTTGAACTACCGGTAGATACTTTCAACACGTTTGCAGTAATAGCAAGTACACCTCTGCTATACTTGCGAAAAAAATCGTACCTTTCTATTACAGTGCGAAGAGGTTTAGACATAATGACCTATATCGCATAACTTTCTACGGTTGTAAAAGTAATGTTGGGCCTGGTTTACAGTTGATTGTATGTGCAGAAGGAAAGAAAATCATTCTCTTCTAAAATTAGTATAATTTTCTAAAACTATCGTCAAAAGACTACTAAAAATTACGCATCAGAACGCTCCCTTAATGTTTATAATTGTATATGAGAAGGGAAGCTGATTGATGAAACAATTCCAAGTAAAATGTATGTAGACAAAGAGATTTCTTTGTAGCAGCCGTTTTTACGTGATTAGTATTGTCACAAAGTATTTCTCTGAATGATGTTGCATTAAAATATACCTATTAATTAATTAATTTAAATGATTTAGTTATACAAGGTGTAAGAAGTTTGACTCCCATTACTTTAGCATGAGATAGAGTAATCATACGTGAACAAAAATGTTGTATATTACAGAGGCGTAAGATTAACAGTTTTCAAAATACGGCGTGACAACAGCGCTTAACCTGCTGATGCACACCACGTGTAGGTACACGCGGCAGACTTGTCCTACGGAAAAAATGTAAACAGCTATTATTGTGAAACATTTAGTAAATTTCAAGACAATTGTTTTCCAGTTTTTAAATAAATAAAATAAAATGTATCGATTTTGTAGTACGAAGATAGCATTGCGCTTAAATTTTAGCTCGAATTTTAGTAATTATGAATCTTTTAAAGCAGGAATTTAACTTTTAATGCAACAATGTCAATATATCAACCATTGTGTGTCTTTGTATTAATTATATTTAGAGACGTATCATTTTTAGTTTTTATTTTGGATAATTATTTATAGTTCTTTTCATGCTTATAGTAGACATAAAAAATGTTAAAGCCTGCCGGTAACTGTGATAGGGGGAGAGTAGGGCATGACAATTTTTAAATGTCCGTAGAAAATAAATGTTATTACAGCTAATTTATTTCACAAATCATAATGCTCTTATCAGGTACACTCATCGAGATAAATTGAATACAAAATTAATGAGAAATAAAGTGATATTTATCAATAATTACATATCTTGTCAGGTATTCAATTTATTCAATTTAAAAGTTGCTCAGCTTTGCCCTAGGTGGACGGGATCTTGAATCGCCGGACGTGGGCCCTGTGTTGCCGATATGTAAAAATTATTCCCTAAATGAATAATAATAATGAAATTAATTTATTCAGATATTTACTTTTAAAATATTAAGTTATGTTCTGAAAATATAAGAATAGGCTGAATTTGCATACATTTATTTAAAGAAAAATTGCGTTATTCACTTCATTCTTGAAATCTATGTTGTTCATTTTTAGTAGAATACTAACTCGTCGAAACATTTGGCAACACAGCTAGGCTGGCAACAAAACAGATTCTGAACATCTCTCTAACACGTACGTTGTTCTCAAATTCCTAATGTGAGACAGAGACAATCAACAATTAGATACGGTGAACTTATTGCTTTAAATTTCTGATAATTCAGTTTGCGCGGTACAGGGCAGGAGTTGGTGCTGCAATGTTGTCATTCTTATTTCTTAGAGTAGTGTTTTGAGTAGTGATTTTTGTTATTACAAGTTTTTTATTGAATAACTTTTATAATTCACTGCAATTGCTTTCAATTTACAGCCATTCTGTAGTAGTGTCTGTTGTGAATTGTTTGAAGGGAGACTTAAATATTATATTCTGTAAACTTTGCCTAAATACGACCCTGTTCTGCTAGGCAGACAAGTATTTACGACCCCGTTTTTGTCGTTATCGGCAATATAATAGAGTTTTTTTATTTCTACAATATATATGAAAAGAACTATAACTGTTTACTAGGTATTAGCGTGGTAGGTATGTTCAATGTTAGTTCGGGCATAGTGTCGTTGTTTCGCGCAATAGGTACTAGTACCTTTAAAATGCAGTAAAAAAACGTGAGAGCTCTATTAATAAAATGTATGTTCTTTTATGTGAGAGAGCAGTATTACTTTTGATTTATCTTTAACAGTTAATCTTCTATGTTTACAGGAATTAAAGTAATCAGTGATCTTTGAAATTAAACATATTCATCTGGCTCATAGCAATTTTAACAAATTTAATTTTTTGTTTGTTTTAAGTTTAGACTGCCATTTACTAAGACCATTTTTAAATCATAATATTTTTTATATATTAAGATCGAATATCGCTTTCTTTTATACTTAAACGCTTTTGGGTATATTAAATTTGGAAATGGATTATTTTATATTTTAATATTTCCGTTACTCTTTCTTTACGCTTTTACTTTCATTTCCTCTAAATTCTGCGAATGTAACAGCGATGCTGCTACTTTATACAGTTCAACCAAACGAATCTTAAGCTCAAGGTTGTCCGTGCGAAGAGTTGCACACCCAAGTCTTTTCTCAATTTCACCTTCTAATTACCGTTACCAGACCTTCCCAATCGTTCAGCTTGTTCGTAGTAAAAAAATATTGGTCGTGACCATGAAATTTACAGAGGAACAAATAGAACAATTTCTAAGTTTTTATCGGTATGTTTTGCCGTGGTTTCGGGCCTTTTTTAACCATTCCCTTGATGATTGTTTTGTAAAAATAGATTTAACCACAAAATTGAAATATGAGACAAATGAAATTAATAAAAAAAACACTTTCCCTGATGCTAGGGACACGTTGCGATTTTGAAATTCCAGTGGACTTTCGGAATTAATACAAGACGCAAAAAGAAGAAAAAATTAACTGTTGCTTACACTGGACAATTTCTTTTAACAAAAAAAGTTACAAATTTAATTATATAAATTGATAAAAATTGGTATTTATTGAAATTCAAAGTTGGCACGTTTGTAGAAAACACCTTGAATAAAATAATGATTTGGAGTACATATTTAGATAACATTTATCTTTTTATTACCAAATATTTTAGTTCTTACTATATGAACTTAATTACCAATTTTAGTAATCACGTTTTTCGAAAAATTTAAGGAATTTTGATCTCCAACTTTCATTTTGAGATGTTCTTCTCATCTCGATTAATAACAGAGCTATTGAATTTTGACATAATAATTGATTATCCTCTATATAAAGAAGAATTTAAAATGTTGTACCTAAAAACTCTTATTAGGTACAAAGAAAGATAATCATGTTAATCTATTAATTCTCAATGATTATTTTAATGCATATTTACAAAAGGTCAAATTTGTCTTGGCAGTATGGTCTCTTCCGTATCTTGATTTAAAGCCACTTGATTTTTTTTATTGAAGACAAGAATAAAGTGTTAAAATTTGTCTTAAGAAAAAGGGAATCGTAGTATTTCTGTACTTGTTACTATGTTTTCCAGGTGAGAGACATGAGGGACGAACTTCTCAAATCCAACGACTTGAACGTGATCGTGGTGGACTGGGCAGGCGGAAGCCTGCCTCTGTACACCCAGGCGACGGCCAACACTAGGTTAGTGGGAATGGAAATTGGTTATCTGATCAACTATCTAGTGGTAAGTAGAGCACTATCTAACGTTGATGAATGTTGATCGATTTGGGGAGAAAATTTTGCTAGGAATGTGGTATTTTACTAGGCGATATCCGCTTATTCTAGTTTTAGGTCAGAGCCGGACTTGAAACATTTTTATGACCCTGGAGTATTGAAAATAAATATTAAAATTTCTCAAGGCCTTAAATTTTGAAAAATTGTAGGTGGCATATAAAGGCAATTCTGCATGTTAATTAACTGCTCAAGTCAAAATTTAAAGCGATCTTTAGTCACAAAATAATTTTAACAGGTTGTTAAAAATCTGGTGGAGTAATTGTTAATATTAAATAAGAGAAAATTAAAATTTCTTTGTAAAAATATATATATTTTATTATTAGCCCTCGCATATTTCGAATTTCTAATAGGTACTGGACATAATGATATAAGTTTAACATGGATTTTAAAAAAAATAACATTCATGGGATTACAGTGATATAAACAATGATATTTAAATAATAAGAGAGATATGGCCAAATGAATATGTACTAAAAAGAGATTTATTTATTGGCTCCAAGTCTATTTTTTGATTCCTTAACCTTTATTAGGCATCGTTGACCCGCCGTTGTTGTTCTCGGGTTAGGCCCTGTGGGGGAAAACCCTTTATTAGAACCTCTATTCCCGTTCTGATATTGCATTCGGTTCTTGCCGTTGGTCGCGTGAAGCGTTTGCATACACCGCTGAAGATGTGGACCGTGACAAGCGCGAAACGTTTGGAAGCACTGAACACGACCATTCACAGATGTCACTGAGGAACATCTCAGAGGACCCCATTGTCTGAGGAGCGGTTTCGTCCATAAGACCTTAAAACCAACAACCAGAACTGAAAACTATGTCAAGGCGGGGTTCTGATAACGAGTCAGCCCCCACAGTGTACAGCAAGAACAAGTCAGAAATTTAGCTAGGGCTAAGAAAGTTTGCGGTCAAGTACACAGGCCACTGGCCTTGAACACATTAAAGGCACTAAGTTTGTGTCTAGTCTAAGATACTGTTTTATGACATATTTTTTTTGGCTAATACTTCATTATCATAATAACCAGGAAATTATAAAGATAACACTTATGGTAAACTATCCGATACATTAGGGTACCTTAATTTTTAGAAAAACTATGAAGTGGAGCCAAGGGACATTCATATAATAGGACATTCCCTTGGAGCCCATACAGCTGGGTATGCTGGGTCTCTCGTACCTGGACTGGGTAGGATCACAGGGTTGGATCCTGCAGAACCCTATTTCCAGGTAAATATTTTATAAATAATTTCTAAGAACATTTGGATTTTATTTTCGTTTTATTAGGGTATGCCATCGCATGTTCGATTGGATCCCTCTGATGCAGATTTGGTCGACGTGATCCATACTGATGGCAAGGGCATCTTCTTTCTGGGTATGTCGGCAAACTAGATTCTTGATGTGGTATACGCCTTGAATCTATGCTTTTTAGCAATCAGTAAAACTATTTTATCTTCTAGGATATGGTATGTCACAACCATGTGGTCATCTGGATTTCTATCCCAATGATGGGAAGGAGCAACCCGGATGCGATATTACCCAAACGCCTTTGGTTCCTTTAACATTGATTAGGTAGCGTAAATTACTTTTACTGAATTATATTTCGTTAAAATTGTTTATATTTGAAACTATTTGCGAAAAGTTTATATATCTCCTAACACCGTTACGATTTGGCGCCCAACGTGGCGCTCCCGAATGCTGCTAAAAACTATTAATATTGTAAATTTTGGAAACACTGCAATATAATATTACCATATTTTAGTGGTTAACCTTTTGATAATGTTTATTTTTTCCTTTAATAGAGATGGATTGGAGGAAGCATCCAGAGTTCTCGTAGCCNATTTTTTTCCGTAGAATACGATCCTGTAATAAAAAATAGGGGTTTCCATTTGAAAAATCAAAGTTGACCCTCGTTTGACCTTGAAAATCGACTTCAAGGTCATTTTCAAGGTCACCATCGTATGTCCCCCTCCGAACCCTATAACTTTTGTCTAAAACATTTTTCCTCATTCTGCTCGGGTTTCGAGATATTTCGGGTGGGACATTAAAATGGGACACCCTGTATATCTCCTAACACCGTCACGATTTGGCGCCTAACGTGGCGCTCCCGAATGCTGCTAAAAACTATCAATATTGTAAATTTTGGAAACACTGCAATATAATATTACCATATTTTAGTGGTTAACCTTTTGATAATGTTTATTTTTTCCTTTAATAGAGATGGATTGGAGGAAGCATCCAGAGTTCTCGTAGCCTGCAACCATGTCAGAGCTATAAAATTATTCATTGACAGCATAAACACACAGTGCCCTTATATAGGTAACGAGCTTGCTTGTGCTAAAATCAACTCAATTCTTTTTGTTCATTTTTCTTCAAATAACGATTGTTTCTAGCGCACCAGTGTTCCAATTTCAATCAGTTCAAGGAAGGCAAATGTTTTGCTTGTAAGTCAGGAACAAGTTGTGCCATTATGGGATACCACGCAGACTCCACACCAGGTCTAATAGAAAATAATGAGGTTTTGCCACAGTCAAAGCTGCAGGAGGCTGTCGGCTCTAAATATTTCCTCACTACTGGTCGTGATTTCCCATACTGTCGTAAGTATACAACATTTTAGGTTTTTTTTTTGTACTATTAAAATATTCTTTTTAAGATCGTACCTACAGGATCAGTATAGAATTGGCTCAGCCAGTCTATGCAGAAAGTTGGGTACAAGGTCATTTGAAGGCTTCCATCTTCAGTCCGAATGGAGTTATCCACGCAGACCTGACCTCTTCTGGAGACACCAAACTTGAGCACGGATCGACTTACACGACCGTGGTATCACACCCTGTAGATTTGGCGGGAAATGTGAGGAAGGTGGAGTTGAACTGGGAATATGACATGAATGTCCTGGAACCAAGAACTTTATGTCTCTTCTGGTGTAATGATCACTTATACGTGAAGGACGTGTTAGTGGAGGAGATGGAGCTACCTGGAAGGGGGTAAGATAAACTTATGCTGTCGTTTATAGTGAATAAGAATTAAAATATGTCTAAGAAAAAGTTCTATATCACTCGTTCTATATTACTCGTTTTCTGGGCAATAGTGGATAATAATCCTCTTAATCTGTAAACACCAATAATGCAAACACAGTCACAGTAAATTAAATTTCGACACCAAACAGCAGCGTCTTAACAGAATAAACACGATTTATGTTCTGCCCAAACACTTGGTCTATCCTGCATTGTTTATGTAATTCCCACAGGTGCAAGAAGCTGATGCTCCTTATACTTGTGGTATGTGTATTGTTTCCAGTGGGATTTTTTCGTTTTTTTCTTTTAAAATGTCATAGTATCGATTAAATTATAATAACGCTATAATATGGTTTTACTACATTTATCATCATAGAAGATTTTTTTCATTCACTATAAACGCCATAAAATAATTTGTGCTTTATTTAACATTGACGTAAAACCTATTTTAGGAAAAGAGATGCTCAGTTCTCAAGTCGGCTGTGTTCGAAAGGCAAGAGGGAATATGCAGACATATCGAACAGAGGAAAAGGATTATTTGTGGACGCTTGTAACACTTCAGATAAATACGATAAAAGCTAGTCCTCAACGTACTTTTAATCTATAGATTAAATCGACTGACTGAGGAAGTGTCATAAAGTAAATATGTTTTAGAAGAGCAAGCATAGATAGAGACTGTTAGAATATCTTCAAAAACAAATCTTTATTGTAGAAATTTGAAGCGACGGAACTAACCCAGTTTATAATTTCTAGTGATTTTTGTGAGTAAATATTCTTGTGATTTAGGTATACATTTTATTGAAAGTACAAAGTATGTCATTCTAAAATCATACAAATATGACTTGCAACTCATATATATACCATGAATGTCTTTGCGAGTACACAATTTGCAGGTGAAGGTTTTACGAACTACATAGAAACTACGGAACCTTATTTAATCAAGTCGGTCGTGTATGATTGTTGTTATGATTTCAGTAGGATACAAATAGAATTTAAGTGGTGCTACAGAGCTTAAAAAGATATAAGAATTTTATCAATTGGTGTTTATACCTTTCAGTATTTAGGGGTGATCCACATAAAACTTCCCGCTCTGATAACGGACAAATTTTTTGATTCTGTAGAAGCCAGTTAATAGAGCGCTTCGAGGATTAAGACTTCAAGTGGAATTAAAAAAAAAATCGTTGATAAGAAATTAGTTTTTCTACATTTAAACTTTGAAAATTTAATAAGTTTTGGACACTCAAAACTCGTATTATTTTCATGGCCCAAAAATGAATTGACTTGCGGCTTCAAGCAATAAAACTCATACAGGGTGTCTCACCACGAACTCCATCAATGGATATCTGCTAAACCGCTGGAAGTATTTCTTTCCAATTGTGGTTGTGTGATACAGGCTGTGGGGCCTACCAAGCTAAAATATTTTCGAGGTCATCATACTTCCGATTATACCAACTTTCTTATTTTAAATGGAACCCCCTGTATATTATTGCAATTTTGGAAAGAGCATTTATTTTTAAGTTAAAAACATTAGCATACTTCATACATGGAATTGACCGTTTACGAGATATTTCGATTTTTAGGCAAAAACTGACATGCAGACTGTCAGAAAAATTTAGTTTTCCCAGAAACATGTTTATTTTTTTGTGCAAATTGGACATATTGTAGAGATATACCTAATTTAGCAGATTTGAAATAAACATTTTCCAGTTTTTATACAAGGTGATTAAAAGAAAATGATCGAATATGAAGTTCAGAAAATGTGAAAACTCAAAATTTTTAAATGGAAACCCCCTATTTTTTTTAATGTATTCACATTCTGCACTAAAATTGAGTGTAAGTTTGTTGAAGTTTCCCTATACGTAAACCCAGTTGTTTTTATTTTATTTGCGAATAAACATTTCCGTTTTCCTAAAATGGTGTTTTCATTTGTTTCGCATTCAACATGACAACTGTCACAGGTTTTTAATCGTCAAATTTATTTTAATAAATGACCAAAATGTCTTCCTTCAACTTCTAAACATTTTTCACACCTTCGTATTAGTTCCTTGTGCGTCGCCACTCTAATAGAATCTGGTGATAGATGCTCTAGCCTTACTCTATGCATACAATTTTCCTTTGTTGTTACTGGAGTACTATACACACTATTTTTTATTGTCCTGCAAATAAAATAATCCAGTACAGACGAGTCTGGTAGGTGAGGCGGCTATAAAAATGGTCCATTGGCAATCCACTGGTTATTAACAGTTGTTGCAAAAAATTTTTAACAAGGTAAATGTTGTGAGGAAGGCCACCTCATGTTGACAAAATGCTTATCTGTAATCATCGAAAGGTAAATTTTCTAAATAGTTATTTTCAACATTTTGTAAAATATTTAAGTAGCGCTCACCTACAAAAAAGTGGTTTGAAATTTAAAAAATACTCAAAAAATAACTGTTTATAGTATACCATTCAGGTTTTCTTCATAGAACTGAATAAATCTGGGACAGTTGTCATGTTGATTGTAATTTATCTGCCACAGCCAAACTAAAATGTGCGAAACAAATAGAAACACCATTTTAGGGAAAGGGAAATGTTTATTTGTAAATAAAATTAAAACGACTGGGTTTAGGTATATGCAAACTTCAACAAAGTTAGTGCAGAATGCGAATACGTTAAAAAAATTGGGGGTTTTCATTAAAAAATTTCAAGTTTTTCACATTTTCGGAACTTTATATTCGATAATTTTTTTTGACCACCTTGTATAAAAACTGGAAAATTTTCATGACAAATTCGATAAGTTAGGTCTTCCTTTACAAAATGTCCAATTCGCACAAGAGATAAATTGTGTTTCCGGGAAAACTAATTTTTTTATTGCCAACAGTCTGCATCTGTCGTAAGTATGGAGTGTGCTATATGTTTTCAACATAAAAATACATACTCTTTTCAAAAATTCAATAATATATACAGGGGGTTCCATTTAAAATAACAAAGTTGGTATCGACTTCCGGTATAACCGGAAGTACGATGACCTTGAAAATATTTTAGCTTGGTAGGCCCCACGGCCTATATCACGCCACCACAATTTAAAAAAAATCCTTTGAACGGTTTCCGAAATATCCATCGATGGAGTTCGTGGTGAGACACCTTGTATTGAATTATTTAAAAACGGCTTAAAATCAGTTATAGAAGCATGTTAAGATTAATTCGTTAAAAATCATAAACTTTCCTAAAAAATCTTTTGCCTTATTCAGTGGAATGATTTTCTTTACAATAATTTAATTTATAATGCAAGAAACCGTTTTTAAAAAGGCAAACAAGAAAAAATCAAGTGGTGTCAAATCTAACGACCACGCTGGCCACTTAAATACACATTTTGTCATGTTCTATCTTCCAGGATATTCAATTTAAGAAATGTATAATTCCACAGCCTTTGTGGGCAAGTGCACCATCATATTGCCACCACATGTCACGACTTTTTGTTAAAGGAATTTCAAATAATTTCACAAAAATTCAAGTACTATTCACTGGTTAGTCCATTGAACAAAAGGGATGACAAAATGACAATTTCTATTTATTAATTGACGTGTTTCAGCAATTTTTGTGAAAACGCAACACAAAATAAAATATGAATTTTTTGCGTTACTTCTGCGATGCACTGTATATCTACAATAAAACCTATTTTGTAGAAATATTTTGATCGAGTTTTTATGTTTGACGCAGTAACTAAACTTATTTTCGAGTCCTGAAAATTTACTGGTTTTGAGTATCAACTTGGTAGCACTACAAAAACTACGGAATTTTTAAAATTTAAGTATAGGCCATAATCCACTTAAAATTAAAGGGTAATGTGGAAACAAAATTTTTTTGGAGAAATAATCTTTTCCATTATCAAATTATCGGGTAGGGAAGTTTTATGAAAATCACTTTGTATACAGGGTGCTTGGAAATTCTCTGTATATTTTAACGATTTTTTTTCAGAATACGAATATATATGTTAAACCACTATTTTTTATTAAAAAAAAAATAGTACAGCATCTGTTTATATTGCATTTTAATTTCTAGTGTAGTATATTATTTGTAATTGCAAATTACATTGTGATACTTATTTTTTTATAAGAAATAAAAAAATTATATTGAAACACATTTTATTTACCTACAAAGGTATTATAAATACTTATATGTTAATATTATGCCTGATATTATGCCTATGCAATTATTATTATAAACATTTCGAGTTTTTACTTTTCACACTGTGACACCCTGAAGTATTGAAAAATGATTTAGTAAATATCACATCATTTTCTATCACTCGTCCAGATGAATAAGCACCTTTCCCGTGCATTTTTTATCCTCTATGAATTTAATTGCTTTATTTATTTCTTTCAGTGTAAACTTAGCACTAATATGGGCACCAATGAGTCCTTCGTTTGCTAACTCTAATGTATCACTTACTACAGTCTTATACAAATGCTTATTTTGGCGTCTTAACTCTTTTAGGCTTAAAATAGTCGAAAATGAATGAGGTTTAGGTGCTGGTATCATCTGATAAAAGAACGGAGCTGCATATAATACTTTTCCTCCAACAGACACACTATAAAAAATGTATTTCAATTAAAAAATACTAAATGTGTATACTAAATTTACCAAGTGCCGATGGTTTCCATCATATTGTCTCCTACAGCATCGTAGACTATACTAACGCCTTTATTTTCAGTAATTTTCATACATTGTTTGGTGAATTTATCGTTGAAATGTAACGTTTCAAATGCTCCTCTTTGGCGGACCAATTCTCCCCTTGCTTCTGTATCCACAAGTCCAAGAACCTTAAAAAAAGTATGTGACATTTTTTCAAATGGGTGCAACAATGAACTTACCTTGGCTTTATATATGTTTGCTGCTACATCTACCGCAGCCAATCCAAGGCCAGCTGAACCAGCCGATATCATGATTCTTTCATTTTCCTTTGGAGTGGCTAACTTGGAAAAAGCATAGACAGCCGTAGAATGGCCATAAGCTATGACCGCAGCATCTTGCTTATCTAGGTCAGCCGGTAACCTCCAAACATCATCAACATCCAACTAAAAGAACTTTAATTAAAAATTAAAACAGGGGTGTATAATAATTACAAGTCTTACCACACATTGCTCTGCAAGACCTCCAAATTTCTCCAAACTGAGTCCAGCTACTCTGTCTCCTACTATAATTTGTTCATTAGAAACTTTGCTTCCTTTTTCAATTACTTCTCCTGAAAGTTCATAGCCAGGTATAAATGGTAAGTCTCCACCACCTTGTTTAAATTTATAAACGTCCACCTTGTTAACACTACAATAAACCACTTGCACTCTTACTTGATTCGGTTTAAGGCTTTCTGTTTTCCTTTCTTCAATTTCTAAGGGCTTACCAACTTCTTTAATAACTGCGGCTTTGAAACTGCTTTCCAACCGACTGTTATTAGAAAAATTGGTTTGAATTAGCTTTCTAGCTAGTCTAGTAAATACTTTGTTCATATTGTTGCTTAATACTTAAAATGAAATTAAAAAAATCTATTAAAAATACATAACCTCAATTGATCGAAACGGAAAACAAATGTAATTCTTCTTCTTCTTCCTTTTCATGACAATGGCCATATAGGATTCATTTCAGAAGCAATGTTCTCACCACTGTAAGGTTTACGAAAAACGTAGTGATCTAGACAGATCATTTTCTTTCGACTATAAAAATAACGAGGTCAAATATAGTAAGTAGAACACTCGGAGTGCATATTTGTAAATCTCTATTATGATAAGACATAAATCAATAAAGACAAAGGCTGAACACAAATGGAAATAACGACAATAAGCACTCGAATGCCATTTTTCACGTGATATTTTGTCTACTGTGCTATTCTTCTTAGCACTGAAGTATAGTTCAAATTGCCAAATTCATGTGAAAATATAAAAAATCTTTAGAAAGCTACGATAATTTAACTCGTAAATCTCAACAAATAATAGAGCCGACAGAAATATGTGCATTCAGAAAAACTCATCAAAAATAGTCATCGATTAATCAGTTCTATCAGTATAAAAGGTAGAATAGAAGGTAATAGAAGTATAACATTTATGCTTTGTGTTTCTGATAGAAAGTAAGTGTTCTTCGAAACTTTAATTGTGCTAATTCGATTGGCATCTGATCTTGTTGGAAAAGTGAACCAGTTTTTGATAAAAAATCTTTCTAAAATAGTCCATGATTGTCTTTCAATTCAATCATTCCTGTATCATTTTAAATTTTACGTGTGGTGTTCCACTGTTTATGCTATCATTGTGAAAATAGTGTACTCGAGAAGGAGAAGATTTTTGGTATAGTTTATTGACATTATTTCATAGACTTTTTAGTATTTTTTGTAGACTTATTTAGCTTAATTACCATGAAAATAAAGTAAGGATGTGGCAGCTAACGACAAAACATATAAGCCAGGGTGCTACCGGTGGTGTTAGGATAGTACATAGTTTATAAAACCAATGCTACAATTGCGTTCCAAAACAATTTTTGGATCACTTTCATCTGATCTCACATTCTATCTATGATCCTTTCGGTCACATAGTCACAGAACACAAAATATCATCTAACTGTTAGGTTTCTATACTGAAGTGTTTTGTTTTGGTGATGGTGTGGTGTCACAGAAGATAAATTGTTTTATCTTCCGTGGTGGTGTGGTCTGTGGTGTGTTGTGGTATTGCATGTTTGGAAGTTGTGCGCTAAATATGAAACAATTGAAATATGAAATTCCATACTTTAAAATCGACATGAATGTTAAGAGATAGTGTATGTGGTTATACCATAGTTTATAGGATGGAGACTACACAAGTCTCCCTGGTTTATAGAGTGAACACATTTGCTTAGGACAAAAATGTTAGTGTTTTTTTCTTAAATTTAGTTCCTTATTTTTTGTGAAAATAATTTTATAATGAAGCCAAGAAGAAATAATTTTTGATATTTCAAATACTTTATTTATAATAACAACACATGTATATTAACATATATATTTGGTGTGAACAAATAATTTAATTATGAGAAATATTCGAATATATCATTCGCATATGTACACATTACACAACAGTTTAGGTAAACAGCACAGTAAAAAACACTTTTGTGGGCCAAGAGATGAGATAATAACATGAAACAAAACACCAATATTAATAATAATAGTAATAATAATATAATGAACAACAGAACAGCATTTTACTTTGAACACTGTGTGAATTAGTTATTATCTTAAGTACATTGCACATTGCTGAGTACCAGAACCTTCTATCACCATCGTAGCTTTATTCGTGAAAGTGGTATTGGCCTCGTATGGTGTTTAGAAGGTCTGGGTATTACGCTTACAAGTAACACTATGTTTTCTACCTATATAAACACTAGGTATACATAATCACAGAGTATCTAAAAAATTATACTAATACTTAAACTTTTATTAATATATCGAAGCGATTTAGTAAAATATACTTCTCTAATTAAGATAAATTCTATAACTTTTATACAAGTACTCAACAGAATTAACGGGAAAATAAATTAGACTAGACTAAATAGAACTATAAAACAACATTGTAATAACAGAAAGTACCTTTTTATACATAGATACAAATGAAAATGAGTTATGTACAATTATTTTAGATATAATACATTTTCTTAGTTCTTATGCATTGAGGTATATATCTATACAGGTTCTTACCTCCCTTAACTATTTACAAAATCACATTTTAATATTACGTACAAATTATGTCCCAGCTAAGGAAAACATTTACAACCGAGTTTACAAAATTGTCTGTAATACCAATACGAGCGGCCGTCTTTGGTTTTGGAAAGTCTTCAGGGATCTAGGGAACAATTTAGTTTCGGCAACATACAATTAGGGGGGCTTTTATAGATTTGCTGAGGGGTTTGAACAGACTGTGACCTATAAACTTTTTAAATTTATCGTCATAAACTACAGTGACATCGTCTTAGAGTTTTTGGTAGTAGAAATTGTAATGGAGAATGATGGATTTAAGAAAACTGTAATTTTTTTCAAAATTGTAATGAAACCTTCTATTGAAAATTAGAATACTTGATTTTGTAGAATACATATATGAAAGTTTTTCCTTCAGGAATTGGAAACTAAAGAGTAATTTCGTGCTCCAAACAGAGATGGAGCTCACTGCAAGTTAAATAGAAATCTGCATTAGTACGATACAGAAGTATGGCAAGTGCATAATAGATGACATATTTCTTGTAGCATTTTTCATGTTGCAAGAAAACTTTCTGCAATTTTTTTCATACTGTAAAATTAATGCAATTTTTTTATGCATCAAAAATTGCAGAAATATGTAATCATCGAAAGTAAATATCCTTGTTTATATAGAGTGTTATGAAATACATTTCCAAGCTGTCACAAATTAAAAAAGTTTTTAAAAACATAAGTGGAAACACTTAGTTTTTGAGAATTATTAAAATTTAAAAAAATTAGATTTATCTAAATGTCTTTTAAGATGTTTGAGGCAGATTGATGAAACTTGGGCTTATGACAACTAATTATGGGCAAAAAAATAAATCTATCAACCAGTGGTGGAGATACTAGGAAGAACATTAGAATTTCGACGCCACTGGTTATTTTATGATTATTATTTAATTCTTATTAATATTTCCAACAAAGAACATCTTTCATTTTACTCAAAAAACATTTCTCTTACAAAAAAATATAGGTTTTGGATAGAAATATAATTTTAAATACAGTGTAATTATCAGAACGAAATAAAATCGTTGTTGTAACAATTTTGCAACAATGTTACAGTTTTTAGGAGTTTATCAGAAAATTTATTTATAAAGTTTATTCAGAAAATTTAAAATTGCATTTCTATTTTCTAATTATTTTTTTCTTTGATCTCTCGTAATTACATTCTATTTAAAACTGTATTTCTAATAATTTTCTTTTTTGTAAAACAAATAGTATTGAATGTTATTTTCGATTTATTCAGATATATTGTAGGATTATTTAAAATTAAAGTCAATAATAACTGAGAAATGGCTCGTTTTCTCGAATAAAATGAAAGATATATTTTTTCTTAGAAATACCAAACAAAACTAAATGCATTTATCCAATTTTCAAAATATTCAGTGGCTTCCAAATTCTAGGGTTGTTAGTGACTTTGTTTCCCAATATTTCACCACTGATTGACAGATGTGTGTATCAACTCAGCAAATTATTGCCCATAATAGCTTAGTCATTAGCCCAAGTTACAAGCATTTTGAAATATAAATTTTAATTTTCAATAAATTTTTATGTAATTAACATTCACATATTTTGAATAGTTCATGATGCAATACCTCAATATTTTGGGGTACCTATTATTATAAAGTCCTTAGATTGACCAAGTACTGAGACTGATTGTTGCATTTGCCTCAAAATGGCGGTTTGACATATGTCAGTTGGTACTGTTTAAATAAAAAAACTATCAAAATTTAATTGTTATAGTATGTATGTATGTTGGTATGTATGTATGTCGGAGGCTGGTGGAATTGTTTATCCACCGCGGCACTTAGGCCTTATCAGGCCCCTTGTACACCCTCCTTCATTACTCGAGTACTTTTCTTCAAACCATCCTATTTACTACACGGGTGGCTTGGTGGCAAAGTCTCGTACAGTTTATGTATGATAGCATGGTCTTGAGTTATAGAGATTTTCTGTGCTCTGTTCTCATTACCATTTATCGGGGACCACACGCATGCGGCAAATGTAGGCCACCCAGGTCTCTGGTAGGCTGCCACAGCCACGTCCCCGAGCCTGCCTTAGGTCACCCATCCAAATTCCAGCCTGCGTCCGTGATGCTTGCCTAGGCAGATCGAAATCCGCCGGCCAAGACACCCGGCTAGGCGGTCCCCCATTGTTATAGTATTTTAGATTAAAGTATTGGATTATTATGTAATAAACAGATCAAAATATGTAAAAATTAATAAATTTTATGACAATGTATTGAAAATTCAAACTTCACTAATCTTTGCTAAAAAAGGATGCCAGGGATATTATGAGCAAATGGCCATATAATATTATCCTTCCTAAGCTTTAGTGGTTGTCTAACGACATTTTATATAAACAAGGTATGTTCTGTATGAAGTACCGAAGTGTCGAAGTGTTAAATAATGTTTTAAGGAAACCTTTTAAATCGGTGGTTGCGTGTTGATTCAGACCCCCCGCTCCTCTAGAAAGCCGTAGTATACTTATACGTAGCACATAGCCATTTCTTAAATTTAAATAGGTGTCGGCAGAACCGTAAAGTCTTGCAGGGCGCACTTGACAGTTTCGTACAATGGTCTGTTCTCATCACTACAATACCCTTCGGGAGTGCACAAAGTTTGCAGCTTGCTCAGGTAGGAATCGAAGTTCTCCTGGCCGATTTTTTCGGGGGCGGTAGCGCCCCCGGGCAGCCTCACGTGCTCCAGGAGGGTGATGACGTTGTTCCGCAAACTTTCGTAGTACTCGTTGAGGTTGTTGGTGCGCTGAGTCAGGGCCTGGGTTTCCTGGTGGGGGAAATTTTTATTGTAGTCCTATTGCATTTTTACGAAACCGCTGGCGGATATGAAACGATGTGTTAGGTCGTTCGGCCAATTTTTTTTAGCGGGTTTTATGCATACTTTTCCAGACCTTTTGGATGCTTTGCCGGCCAATCGCGTGCCAGAAGATATCGAAAAAGTCTTTTAGAAATCTTTTAGCATACAACTGATTTTAATACAAGTTTTTTATATGTTATTTCATAATAGAAATTAAATACCTACATTTTGTTGTAAAATCGATTTTAAATGATTTGAAAAGTAAGTAGGTATCATATAAAATTGAAGATTCTTAAATTAAACACCTAATGACTAAGGCTGTCAGAAAGAGCCGCAATTCAATGGCGTGTCAATCGGGTCAACCGAGACATGCGTGAGTCGCTGCCACAGAATGCTTTTCATATTCACGTCACATTAGTATACTGTTGCCTTTGTATTCGTGCGAATGGTGCGTAATTAATTTCTATGCGTTGGTGTTTATGGTGGTGTATTGTAGATAATTTAATTTGTTGCTTTTTAATAAATAATGCGTACGCCTATGTCCAGCGGCTCAGTTCTGACCTCGGTTCTGACAGCCCTACTAGTGACCATAGGAGAAATAATGTATTATTGATTTTGATTAAGTGTTTATATGGATATTAACTTGCATAATGAAGATGTAAAGTAAAAGGGTTTTTAAAATATATACCTAAGAATTGAAATTTGAATATTTAACTCATTAAGTATCTTTCTTTTGGACCCACTGACCTATACCATAAAAATCCACAAATCTAGAAAAAAATCTAGTCTCTCAAATGTGCAATATGGTTTCTAAAAAGTGACTGATTTGCGAAGATCTGCAGACTTTCAGTCAATGTGCTGTTAATTGAAAAATAATTTGCTGGCCTTTTGGTCCTTTTGGAACCAAAAGAAATTATGAATTTTGTGAACGCTATTTGAATTATGTCGGCCTGAATTAAGTGTGTGAGTATGATGATTATAAATTCAACAATATGGTTGTGGTTTAAATGGTGAAGAGATACAATTTTTCACACAGATCTATGCAAATGACTTTCCATATATATATTTAACAGAGATCAGTGTTTCGATCCCGAAGTCAAAAAGGAGACAACCGGTAGATTATTATTTTGTAGGTAGTATTGGGACGATTTACTAAATATAAATATATATTTCAAAAACACCATTTTACTACAATATGAATGATATGAAACACAGTAATAAAGTATTACTCAAAATTTTATTTTGACTTTATAGAATTTTGAATAATCCTCAAAATTGTATTAAATATAAATCCATTACCTTTTCACCGTGGCCTAAGTGGTTCTCCATCGCACTGATATCTGACTTGAGTTTTATCATTTGCGACTCAACCCTGGCGTTCTCCCTTTGGAGCTCGGAAATTTCCGCTTCCAAGGTCATCAGATCCTCGCCACCATTAGGGTTTGGTTCGATACCTACAAAAATATATCTGCAAATAAGTTTAGTCTAACTTGAACCATTGTGCTTCTGAATACTGCAAAGTAAACATTAGAAACTTTATTACTGAATACCGCGGTAAGAAATGTCTTAAAGAATTGGTTTTAATCTATTTCAGGATGTCAAGAAATGAGATGATTCAATAGCAAAGTTTCTAAAATAAAACACAGTTAAGGAAAACAAACGAAGCACTCTCAATTTGTTTAAAAAACATAACTCGCGTCATTCAACCCCCCCCCATTACGAGACGCCACTGGATAGATAATTATATACTCCAGTGCCAAAATAGTAGGGAGTAGAATTAAATAAATCAAACCACAATCTCTGCTTCTTCTTAATTTGATAAAATAGTTTTGCGTATTATCTGCATGGAAATTATAATGTGCTGTTCAGCTCGCATAATGTTCCGATATTATGTTCAGCTTGCGCGTGTGCATTTGAAACATTCTGCTGTTATCTGAGGCTACACAGTTTGACTTTTTGAAATCCGGCTATGTGTTACTGTCCAGCTTATGTGTGTTAGTGCGTATCATTGGCGTACAAGTGGCTCATTTTTGCAATTTCAATAAGTGTTGTTAAGAATGGAACAGTGTGCAGGTGTTAGTGGTCAATGGTAGTTGTAAATAACTGATTGTAACAGTACAAGAACATTGTTCGATAAATAATGTGCATCAGGGAATTTGAGCACGAAAAGCAGGTATATCAGAGTGAGTGATATCGTGGAATGTTGCTGTTTTTAAACAAACATGTCTGACAGAAGTATTTATCATGCGGTGAAAAGTGGTGAAAGTGTGAAAAAGTAAAAAACGTGGAAGGAAAAAAATTGAAATTAACAATATTATCGGATTTTATTTTAAAAATGAATTTACCAAAATAAAGAAAATTCAGACTGTAGAAGAAGAAGAATTGTCTGAAAATTTTATGCATGGAATGTAAAATATGCTAATAGGAAAATGAGTATTTAAGAAAAATAGTAGTGTCGTACATCGAAAACGAAAATTTATTATTTCGAGAAGACATGAATAAATCAAGGGCACACGGTCTCCAAGGTTAGTCTTTGGCAAGACTTAAATATATTAACAGCAGAAAAGAAGCATTTTTAGTAGGATTTTCTAAAGGATTGGAGGGACCTTCTGGGAAAAAAACGGCGACTAATAGCACATATCGGAAGTGAATGCAGATTTTTGCATAATAGTTTACATCTCATCCCGAGTCGCAGGAAAGGTTACTATGATAAATTGACAGTTTGGAAAATAGTTTGCATCTATTTTGTCTCACATCGAAGTTGGTACAGTGATTGTCATGGATAATGGGCCTTATCATGACGAATAGAAAAATTGCCAATATTTGCATAGGGTTGAATGGAATACGTTAAATACAGGATGATTCGCAACTTATCCAAAAAAATGAAACATCAGTCAATATAATAATTTTTTTTTGTAAAATCCTTATAGTCTCCGAGAAAAAAATGATTGAAGTTATAGTACCTTTACATTGCAGGACTACTGTAGTCTCTAACATCATTCACCTTGTAGGTACGCTGTGCGCAATGCGCTCTCTCTCTCTCCACGTGGCTCCAGACGATTGCGAATATTGAAATCCGATGATAGTATTTACGTTTTTGCGATAGTGTTTACATTAGTTTTCAAGTGTCAAAAATGGTTTACGTATATATCAATTCAGGAGTTGATGGATATCATTTTAATTTATGGTGAAGCAAGATAACATTTTTGTTGTGGTGAAGCATTTGTGTTATAGAGAAGCAAGACAACATTGTGTTAGTTCATAGAAACTGGGTAAGATGGGCCCAAATGTGTTTACACGTCGGTGGATAAGATTTTGAACAGTTGTTGTAACATCAGGCATGTCAAATAATTTTATTAATTAATAATAACAATAGTGGCAAAAGCAGGTGAATTTACTGATCCACAAATAGGTGTAATAAAATCTTATTTATTTCTTTCCTTGTGAAAAATTTTTTTCAATTTTTTGTCCGTTCATTATTTATTACACTTTGCTGTTATAGCACTACGTAAACACACTTTTCGCAAGGTCCATTTGTTCAATTAGCGCCGTCTATATCCCAGAATAAAAAAAAGAAAAAAAAACATTTTGAGAATAAGTGACTGCTTATTATTTTGACATTGGCGTATAGATAAGTTTTATTTTGTTTGAAGGCGAATAAACATTTATATTTGTCAAACTGAGATTCAGGACATCGAGAGTGTTTCATTTTCCTCTAAACATCGGATACAAATCTTGAATGTTTTCCGTACCTGTGTATCCCTTGGCGTAGAAAGGCATGTCCTCGGGATATTTCGACTTCTTGACCGTTTGGCCGGCTACGGGGCACCCGCTGAGGGAGCGGTGAGTCAGAAAGGATCCGTTTATGTGTCCCGTGCCGTCGCACCCTGGTGTGGGACAGTTCACCCCCTCGAATTTCATCGCTGTCGCCGCTGCTACTGCCGCTTTGTGCTGCTCCACTGAACCCCCGCTCTCCAGAACCCTCATCTTGTTCCTATTCGCGATCGGACATCCAGAAGCACTACACGACAATTCAGTAATGTAAGCAATAGAGTTGAAGGATGAAAGAGGAAATGAACAAAGAAAAAATTTAATAAAATATTAGAACTAATTTCAGAATTTTGTAGAGACCATAATTTTTACTAATAAGATCAGTTAAGACATAATTTATGGAATTCTAAACATTTCTGTAACTGATAATGGAAGAGATTTTACAAAAATATAACTTTTGCAAATATTGCTAATAGTTTGAAATACCAGACATTGTAATAACTGACGGAACTAACGGAAATAATTTTACAAAAAACATACTTCTGAAATTTAAAATTAGCTGTAAATAATTTGTTAGGATACCAAACATTGTCATACGTGATAATGGATGAGATTTTATAAAAAATATATGTCTACAATTTAAAATAAGCTAAGTTCTTACTACCTATAAATTTTAAAAATAATATACAGGGTGTCCGCAAATTTCATCGACAACGCAGATTATGAAGTGTTGGCAGTGTATCAAGACAACTAAATGTATGTAAAACTAATGTTCACAAAATTTTTTTCATTTAACTCCTGCTCAAGAACTTGCAAATTTAGATCCCAACGCACGTTTACAATTTTGTCGTTGGTTGATGAATGGCTTCGCAGAAGATAATAATTTGTTTCAAAAATTGTTTCGTACCGACGAATCTTGTTTTACAAGGAAGTTGTAAATTTTTATAATTTGCTTGTGTGGAGTGATGAGAATCCTAAAGAAACACGACAACAATGACATTACCTGATAGCCACAGCAATCAACATCAACATGTTTTCATCGCCTACTGATATTAAAGTTTTAAATCCCTGACACTGCTACGCATCCCGAAGCGCCAGATTGCTATTTTTCTCAAGGATGGCTTTCTGTAGGCGATTCTCTCGTAAATAAAACGACCTTTTCAATGTTGCTGCCCGTTTAAAAAAAATACTACCATTGTACAAGTTTTGACCGCTAAAAGGGAGAAGTAACCGAAGATACTATCACCCAGTATATCGATTTGACTAAAGCTTTAGGAAATAATATGCCATGTCCAAATAAATGTGCCAAATTTTATCGCTATCGGTAAAAGGGTTATGAAGTTATTAATTAAATTAGTTTTATTTTTGACAACTTTGAAGGCTTGTGACTCAAAAACCCGAAATTTTGTATTTAACTTTTTTTGTGTAGATCGTATTTACTTATCGACGTGAATATGCAGTCAAACGTTGTCGGTGAACTTTGCGGACACCTTGTATATCAAGTTAGACAGGACGTATACCATTGCTAGAACTTAGACTACCAAAAATTTGTCATCTATAAAAGAAGAGACTTTATAAAAGATATATCTTGCAATTTGTGGTACTTATAAGTAATTACTACTGGTAAGATTTAAAAATAATCAATTGCTATATGATGTAAAGAGATATTCACATGACATCCTACCCACTTATTCTTTTTGACTCTCTATCCAGGACAAAAGGGTAAAAAACTATAATTTGGGAAATTTTCTTGCGATCTGAAAGAATTATTGTATGTTGCATTTCAGAGACAAACTTTTGGTTTTTAAATAGAACACTGTTTAGGATTGCCCAAAAAAAAACGAATATATATTTTTTTCGTGTCTCTTGTGAAAGTTTACATGTTTTAAGAGCCCCCTCAAAAAATCAGCTGAAAAAAAAATTTTTAGAGGTCGCTCAAGATTTTTAAAAACCAAAATCGTCAAAAATTGATTTTTTAAAATTTTTTCTCTCGTTATTTTATCATTTTCTAGATTGAAAAAAATCTCGATTCTGAAAATTTCATATCGATATTTTAATTTCTAAACGTCACTCATAATTATTTTAACTTTAAAAGTAGTGTACCTAAAATGTTTTCGAGCGACTTCTAAAAAAATATCAACGAACTAATATTTTTTTTTATTGAATTTGATAAACAAAAGAATAGAAATAAATCACGAGACACTTAAAAAATTTCTCGAAGCAAAATTTACTTCCGCACTGTGAGTAATCAAATATTTATAATTTTTTAAAATTTAAGTGTCTCGTGATTTATTTCTATTCTTTTGTTCATCAAATTCAATAAAAAAATTATTAGTTCGTTGATATTTAGTTTTAGAGGTCGCTCGAAAATATAGGTACACTTTGAAAGTTAAAATAATTATGAGTGAACTTTAGAAATTAAAATATCGATTTGAAATTTTCAGAATCGAGATTTCTTTCAACCTATAAAATGATAAAATAACGAGAAAAAAATAAATTTTTGACGATTTTGGAAATTTTTAGATATCTTGGGCGACCATTATAAAAAAATATTTTATGAGCTGATTTTTTGAGGGGGCTCTTAAAACATATTTTCACAAGACACGAAAAAAAAATTAGTTTTTTTTTTTTGGGCCACCCTACTGTATATGTTTCATTCTTTGGTTTCCTTTGTTTTTTTTCTGATTACAATGATAAATACACGTATTTGATTTGACACCTCGCCACAATATTTTACTGATTCTGCATATGGTTAAGATTGCCATAGAACTAGCGCGGGTATGTTTTCCGCTGTTAAATTTACAAAACAAATGTTTAAATTTTCTATTAAGACACAATATTACAAAAGGTGTTATTCCAGTCGTTATAAGGGTGTGATGCATGGTACGTTTTAACAACCAAAAATTTTCCTCTTGTAAGCGGAGCGGAGATGTTCTTCTCCTCAATAAAAATTGAAAATTGTTACATCTTGAAGTTGCTAACTAGTTCTTGTGTCTAATTTCATCAGGAATTACTTCTATGGGGAGAACCGGCATTTTTCTCCCTCCCTCATCACGCCAACCTTAACCGACGTTTGAGGGTGTGGACGTGGCGCTGGTTGTTTGTTCTCTATAGGAGATGAAGTAGATTCCTGGATATGTGGGCAATAATCTAATTTACTTTGCCTTCTTTCCACTCCTGTATGCCCAGAGATGGCACAGTTTCTGGAGGCTGAACCTCAATGCACTAAATGTTTCTGGCGACACTCTGGTGTCTTTTAGGCTTTGCCTTGCCTAGCACTATGTTTTGAGGTCTCCTGCGAGTACCGGATATATGGAAGCAAGATCCTAGAAGGTTCTAGGAGCTTGCTTTATCCCTTGAGATCTTTACCGTAGAATTGGACCAATGTATTCGCAAAAATTTGTGAAAACTTTTTATCATATTTCTGAATTATTAAGGATTTGAATTTATTGAAAAATATTAATTTATCATAAACAGTACTTGATTTGTAAAGATTTTTATATTTTGGTCGCGCTACACGTAGGGGCGACGTTCGATCCCATTCCTTGATGGGTCCGCAGAGGTCCCGTAGCGAAGTCCGCCTTAGATTTAGACAATTGGTTATTTGGATTTTGCCCATTTTTTGTATTGCGGTTGCCCAATTCCAAATTTGCACTTTTCGTCGAGGTTTTTATTTTCCGAAATTCGAAACTGGGATGAATTTTCTATTTTCGTAGCGCGTTGTCGGCGGCTGATTTGCCGACTGCATCAGCCTCCGGCGGTATCGTCTGCTGTACCTGTGGTATTTGCGGGCGACTGGAAGCTTCGTGAAGAACTTCGGCGGAAATTTTCGAAACATAGTCGAATATTGTTTTTCGTCCCGCGCCTGCTATTTCTCGTGGAGGGTAATTTGGGTTCCCTCGGACATGGGTTTCTGCTTTAGTCGCGATTGGCCCTGCGTACTGATTGGAGAAGGCTTCGTGTTTTCGATTGGAAAATTGAGCAAAAATTAGAAATACGTTCGAAACTTGGAATACGACATCTTGTCAGGTTCTGAGGTAAAAAAATCACTAATCTGTGAAAAGTGCCAGGGTTTTCAGACCTTTTGGATCCATCATGTCTTCGTAGAACGAGTTTAAAAGCTTCACAAAACTTATTAATACAATTAATACAATAAATGATTTTGGATAAAACATGTTTTTTTTATCTTTTCGGTATGATTGTGAATGTTTATCCAATGAGTATAACCAAGTTGAGCCTGTATGTTGACATTGCTAAGTAATGCAAATCGCGTTTGATTGCTATTAGTTTAACTATATATTTTCATGTTTATCTTTTTTATTTAAATGCACTAAATCTTTTACTTCCTCTCTTGGCGGAATTGGAATGTCAATTCGACCGAGCTTGGGCTTATCGGCTTATTCTGCCGTTCAAGCCCACAAGTGAGGATTTAAGCTGGCAGGATATCAACGGTGCCGATCAAATTCGATGATGTCTGAGAACCATGTGAAAACTGGTTTTCAGTATAGTTTGGATTTAGGTTGGGCGTTGGTTATAGGTCTAAACTATTAAAATAATAATAATATTATAGAGGGTGTTAAAAGTTTGAGTGCCTTATTTTTAACAGACGATAGAATACATTAAAATAAACAAAAAAACCTTATATGACACGGGTCCTAAACTCAACCATTTCTTAGAAAAAAAATATCAGAATCTCCAACTTGATGTACAAAAGTTCGATTAATTATGGAATATTGACAACTGCATGCAAAGAATACATAAAATACAATGTTTATTACTTTTTTGAACTTCTTTATGCTTTATTCTAAAAAATAATTAGCGTTGTAATAAATCACGCGCGGCGGTTTATTAACACGAGATACTAAGGTGTCCAGCAACCACCAATACGCAATTCAGTTGGTATCTGGATTCGACCGTGTCGGAGTGTTTTTTGCGTACCACTATTTCCTTTTCTTGAGGTGTTTTTCAGCGAGTGCGCGAAAATTGGATTCGAAGGTGTCGTGTGTGCATTGAAAATGAGCATATGTTGTAGTTTGTTTTGTACTTGTGCGTTTAAAAATTACTGAATTTTACTTTTTGGTAAAATACCTAAATTAATTTTAATAGGTATAATTATTTGGACGACTTGAATTTTTGGGTACTTTAATTACATATTTTTCAAATACGTAATTTGATTAAAAGTTAAGTTCCTGTTTTAAGAGATTCATAATTACTAAAATTCGAGCTAAAATTTAAGCACAACACTATCTTCGTACTATAAAATCGATACATTTTATTTTATTTATTTAAAAACTGGAAAACAATTGTCTTGAAATTTACTGAATGTTTCACAATAATAGTTGTTTACATTTTTTCCGTAGGACAAGTTTGCCGCGTGTACACATGGTGGTCGTCAGCATGTTAAGCGCTGTTGTCACGTTGTGATGAAACTCCCCAATATTAATACTCGCTGTATTTTGAGAACTGTTAATCTTACGCCCCTGTAATATATAACTTCTTTTTCATTTATTATGACTCTATCTCATGCTGAAGTAATGGCAGTCAAACCTCTTACACCCTGGATTTATTACACGGAACTTTATTTTGATAAAAATATAATTTTTGTCGTCACTTGTCAGTTTCTGTTATTTTCCTTAAATGTCCTGTGGTTAGAACACAATTAAGGTTATTATAAAATACCTTTTGTATTATAGTAATTTTTCCTTAATAAAATATTTAATGATCTGTTTAGCGTGTAATAGCGGAAAAGCAAAATTTTGCACTGGTTCTATGGGATTTTTTAATTATATCCATCGTGAAGCCTCAGTAAATAAAAATATTGTGCAGGCTACCGAAGCAAATATATGACATGTAATTATAAAAGGAAGAGGTTTTAAAAAGCGACAAATATACAGGGTGTTCCATTAAAAAACATAAGTTTGATTTATTTCTTCGAAATGCAAAATTCGATTTTCTTTTATCTATATATTTCTTTGAGATCCCAAGAAAATTTTCTAATGCTTTAGCTTTTACTATTTTTTCCTAGACGGAAGGTCAAAGAAGATAACGTGTAGAATGTTGCGTGAATAACATCGTTACATTAGTTTAGAATGCCAAATATTGCCATAACTGATAATGGGGAAGATATTTTACAAAAAAATCGATTTCTGCGAATTAAAGTAGGCTGTAAGTAATTGTTACTAACTAATAAGGTTCAAAAACAAGGTGTGTTAATTTATTCAACATAGATTTCGTATTATTATTACTAGCACCGCAATATATGTATAAACCAGCAAATTCACAAAAGCAGAAATCATAAGACTTATAGCAAACCGCACATCCTTATTTACAATTTGGAAATAATGTGCAATAAAATTCAGAATGAATGAAAATGATGATATGAGACGCTGTATAGTTTTTACATGAACAAATATTTGTTACAGTAGTTTCAATTGAACAAAGAGTTTGCCTAAATTTCGTGCCGAATCGTTGAAAATGTTGGGAAATACGTACGATAATTCAGCTCTATCGAAAACATAAGCATATGAATGGTACAAAGCAGTCAAACATGGTCGTGAAGTGGTTGATGATTTGCCACGTTCTGGTCGTGCTTCAACGGCTGCAACTGAAGGAAACATCGAAAAAGTGAAGAAAATGGTGCTTGCAAACCGTCATTATAGTTTGAGAGACCTGACATATGAACTAAACATATCTTACGAATTAGTTTGCACCATTTTAGTTGATTTGTTGATTTTAATTCCAAACGAACTGAATTTTCTTCAGAAAGAGCATGGCAAACATGTTGCTGAGGACATGCTTGAACGAGCAAGCATCATAACGGTTTACAAGCTTGACATGTAAACGAGCAAACAAACTGGCACCTTTTGAATGAGCCGAAATAAAAAAAACACGTCAGTCAAAAATCAAAGTCATGTTGACTGTTTTCTTTGAGTATCGTGGTGTTGTCCACACAGAATTCCTTCCGGATGGAGAAACAGTCTACAAAGAATATTATCTGGGCGTTATGAGGAATTTGAGAGAGCAAAAGACCAGATTTATGGAAGAACAATTTTTGTATTTTGCATCACACAAAGCGATAACTGTGAATGCATTTTTGACCTTTATGGTCAAGGAATGTTATCGAGCAGCCACCGTATTCGCCGGATGTGGCCCCTGCTGACTTTTTCCTCTTTCCCAAACTCGAATTACCACTTCGTGGGACACGCTTCTAGTCGATAGAAATCATGTAACAAAAATCGCTGAAGGAGTTGAAGTCCGTCCGAAACATGAGTTTAAAAAGTTTTTGACGACTCGGTTATTCGTTGGAAAAAATGTGTTGCCTCAAATGGAGCCTATTTTGAAGGAGACAAAATAAATTCTGATGACTAATTGAATATATGTATTGTGTTTTATTAACAAATTCCGGAATTTTTAATGATTCAAACAATAGATTAAGTTATAGTTTTCCCAAAAAAGCATTTGCGACTGCATTTTCTGCACAGGAGAGTTCGTCACGGAATTATACAAAGTGTTTGTAAATAAGTGCGAAATATTTTAGGAGACGATTGCCGAAGTTATTTTGTGAAAAAAAGTTCATATAAACGGAGGTCGAAATACGCTTCGCTTCCGAGATACAGAGTGTTTAAATTTAAATTTCTTATTTATTTTTATTAATTATTTCAGAGTATTAAAGATATTGACTCGAAATTTGATGGTTGTATTTTATTTAGAAATATTGACAGCAACCTACTAGATAATGTATTAATAGAAATTAAAAATACACAACTTGCAATAAAATACGTTTTATTTTTTTTCCTCAAAAACGGTGCATTCTACGGAAACAATTGATGAGACCAATTTCATTCAGAATTGATGGCGGATTTCTGAAAAAATATCAAAACGGGAAAGAGTCAGTGGCGTACTATTTTTGATTATTAAAAATGGTTGTGGCATTCTCGCACGAACGCCACTGGTACAAGTAGAAATATTCGGATCACCCCAAAAAAACATTTACCCCTCCAAAGCGTTTTTCAAATTTCGAGTCGATACCTTTAAAACTGAAATAATTAAAATTTAAACACTCTGTATCTCGGAAACGAAGCATATTTCGACCTACGTTTATATGCATTTTTTTCACAAAATATCTTCAGCAACCACCCCCTAAAATTTTTCGCACTTATTTACAAACACCCTGTATAGGTTATCTTATTGATTTTAATCTACAAAAAATAGGTACTCACAATTATACTTTTTTAAATATAGTAAATAACATGCTGAAGAGGATGTATTAAATATAAAATACAGTTGCAAATATTAATGTCAATAAATTTTAAGGAGCATCATAGAAAATACTCATTAATATTTTGATGTAAAATTCAATTATACCATTTATTAGAGATATGTTGCCATTAACAAATAGGGAATAAACTACCTAAAGATAAAGATCCCAAAGTAGTACTAAAATTCTTCAAATTAATTTTTCGTGTTTTTACATTATATGCTTAATACGATTATTTCTAATTTAATACGATTTTTTGTACAAGTAAAAAATCCTTATTACGGCCCTGATCTTCTCCGTCCAAGGACACCGAAAACATCTGAATGAGATCAAATTGAAGACAACGCAGTGAAATTGCTGGTTTACGTAAGCTGTGCTATAACTTAGAATGACAAAACAATGTCATAGATACAGTTTAAAAAAGATTTAAAAACAGTGTGTATCAATTTAGAAAATATGTATACATTTAGCAGAGCGTATAATGCTAAACATTGCCATATTGACAATGGAAAGGATTTTAGGAAAAACATATTTTTGTTTTTTTGGTTCAACTTTAGAAGTGCATATTTTAAATGATTTATCAGCAATTTACTTCAGAAATTTAGTAGGAATTTTTAGAACCTATAATGTACTGCCTCAAAATAAAAAAGTATTTCTTGAGGAACTCTCAAAATTAATTTCTGAAACATTACGAAATATAAACTAAAAATAATATAATTCTATTCACATACAGTCAATTACCTTCTATGCGACAGAAACTTTCCAGTCGCGTGTCCAGATCCGTCACAACCCGGTATGGGGCATCTGATAGCGTGAAATAATTGGTAAACATTTATTTTCAGTTTTTTAAGTACATGCTATCAATAGTGCGAATCATTGTCTCTTATTTTATATTGGAGAGTAAGTACTAATGATATTTAATAGAGTGAGAGTATAAATTTTCCCACCTATCCCGAAAATATCCACATTTTTTCATTCATTTTACGGATTATTTTGCCTTACCTCAGCGGTTCGGAATCCTGGCCATCCCTGGGTTTACTCTTCGGCTTATTGGCTCTGGGACACCCGGACAGGCTCCGGTGCGACGAGTAATTTCCAGTGACGTGCCCGGAACCGTCGCATCCCGGTGTGGGACACTTCAGTTCCTGGGAGTGCGCCTGGATCTGGGACCTGTCCGCTCTTGGGCATCCAGACAAACTGGAAATTCAAACGGTTACTTTAGAACCAGCGCCGTCTCGCAGCCGCGTCGGTAACTACATCGAAATGGTAAATTGTTTTGTTAGAAGGATCTGACTCAGTTCCTCTGTTTCGCTACAGCCAATTGTTTGATCAGACATGGACATTCGGCAATCTTTTTTTTACGTAACAAAGATTAGACTCAAACTACGACTCTAATATGAGAACTAGTTACGGACTTTGCTTATACCCATTTCTATCATGTGGGGGGTGATACAGGAGGCTTGGTTACTATGTTACAGTTCCAAAATACTAGGCAGTAAGACATAAATAAAGCAAACCACAATATTTAGTTCTTGTGTAACATTCATTTTGTATAGTGTTCCGATAATATGTTAAGAGAACGTTCAAAAAGAGAGACATAATTTGACTTCTTGAAATACCTCTTTGGCTTGCAATTTTGGCGTGTCAGTGCGTATCATAAGCGTACAAGTGAGAGAGACGTGTTATTATGTTCACTTTTCACATATTTAAATAAGTGATGTGGCCAATCAAGTTGGTCGTAAACGAGCAAGAAACGAGGATATGTTGGTTAGTGAAAATGTGCAAAAGTGTCTGTCAAAAGTGTTTATCGTTCCTTAAACAGTACTGAAATTGTAAAAAAGGTGAAAACCTAAGTTAATAACGCACAGAGAAAAGGTCTGTTCTTTTGATCAGATTATTATCCAGGGTGTCCCATAAGCACATGATCAAAAAGGTCATGCGACATTCTTTGACTCAAAAGAAGACGATTTGACCTAACTTTCATTAAGAAAAAATGTCTGGTTCCTCTGCTATTGACTGTCTAAGTTCTTGAAAAAAAATATGTTTTTTGTAATATCTGGAGAATGTTACGATGGATTTTAATGAAACTTGCTGTGGACTTGTTCCTAAGTAAAACTCATGTTTTGGTGATGTAACGTCCATCTGCCTTGGGCCAGTGGTATATTCTTGAGTGTCTTGGTACAAGAANAAAAGTATTCGTTAAAAAATTTATATAATTTTCGCCATTCAAGCGGCGGCGGCGGCACGATATAAGGACCCAGAAGGATGTCACCGATGGTCCCGGCCCAAGCATTTATTCGAAATTCCACCTGAAAGTAGTTAATACTCCTCGCATGAGGGTTTTCTTCTGCGTAATGGTGAATAAAATTCGGCTGGTGAAATTTGGATCGCGTGCCGACGCTCCTTAAATAAAGGGGCGAAATTGAAGTTTTCTCTCAAAATGGTGTGGTAAAAGCTCCTGAATAGACGTCGCATGATAAGGATGGAAGAGTTGCTGTCTTATGATGCGATTAATTGTACTTTTTGGTACGCCAAATTCCACTGTCAGATGGCGAGTACTGATATTTGGATCTTCAGTGACCCTATTTAAAACGGCTGCCTCAACTGCTGCATTTCGTACTTGAGGACGACCCACACAGTCAACGGCTCGAACACCTAATGTACATATTTTTTTTTCAAGAACTTTGACAGTCAGTAGCAGAGGAACCAGACATTTTTTCTTAATGAAAGTTAGGTCAAATCGTCTTTTGAGCCAAAGAATATCGCAGTACCTTTTTGATCATGTGCTTATGGGACACCCTGTATCTTCGGATCCTTGAATCTGAAGTCAGTTCGACACCAACACCAATCATTTTCGAGAAAATACCCCTCAAATTCTTAAAAATGGGTTAATTGCGATAACGCCCTTCGTGTCTGTTATTTTTGTATGAAGAACATAGCAGGTTATCGTATAACAAATTAAAAATAAAATATGTGATTGTTTCGTCAGTTTACAAAACCAACAAGCTTTTCGGAATGCAATGGAAACGAGTTCTTCTGCAGAAGAAGAGTTTAGGGAAATAGATGACATCGTGCCATGAGGAACTGCTGAAAATGAAGCTGAAAACGAAGAAAACTGTTGAGAGCAAGATGAAGAGGAAGTTTAGATGGAATACGAAGAGGGTGACGATAACAGTTAAATGGATAGTTAGGACGAATACAAACGTTTAGTGGAAGTGAGTTAAATGTTCTTATTCGCAACGGAGGTATACCAAAAGACCCAACTGAATATTTAGGTAGAGAACCGAAAAAGAAAGATCTTCCTTTCTGAAGGAATCAAATGTTCTGTGTGTATCGGTCACGTGAAAAAAGTTTTCGGAAATATTATTCTTCAGGTGAAGAGGATACATTAGTGTATCGGTTCAACTTTAGGTTCTGACTCTTCAAAGAGGCTTAAAGACACCTCTGTTACATAATGGTCATAAATGTGCTTCTGTTCTAATGGCACACTCAACAAATCTGAAAGAATCTTATGAAAGTATGAAGTAGAAGACTCACGGGGATTGATTCCCTGACAACTTATGGGACTATAGCGAAGAGAAAGTAGACAATTTAAAGGAAATGAAAAAAAAGGTATCAGTGTAAGTGGGATGTAAATATTATGACGTAATACTGTTGGATGTTGAAAAGAAATGTGAAGTTAGAGGTAAAAAGACACAAAGGAATCAACTACATATCTTTTTTGAATGCAAAAGAGTTCGCTACAAGCGAAAGCGTTAATTAAAAAAAACCTACTGAACTCTTTTACCCTAAATCGCATATCTCTCAGGCATATTTGTAAAACACCCTTTTTATGAACAAAGAAGCGCAAAACTGACTTCAAATCCGTATTTAGCAAATCCGAAAACATTACAACAAGGTTTCATCGAAAGAACACATCTCTTTTTATTGTGTCCCTGTGTAATTACACATATCGGAACTAAATGCGGATTTTTGGGTAATGATTTACATGTATTTGTGTCGCGATGAACAGGAGAATAGCATTAGGCTATGGCAGTGAGGTATTTTAAAAATGGTTTGTATTTATTTTGTTTCACATACAACATGGTGTAGTAATTGCCATAGATAATGCGCCTTACCACAGTTGACGAATAGAAAAATTGCCAACATCGCCTTGGAAAAAAGGAGAAATCATCAGAGAGTTAAGATAAGAAGTATGTAGTGGATGGAATGGCCAAGTCTGCAGTGTTACACTTCTTCAATTGCCACCACACCAATGTGACCCCATTGAACTAAGCTGGACGAATATAAAAACATATGACACGTAATAATACACCTTTAAATTAGGAGATTTAAAGGAATATTTGCAGGCGAATCAGCACAGACCTTATGCTTTATGTAGGTACAACATAAAAATAAGGAATATGGGACCTTGATACAAGAGTTGAAGCTATAATAGAACCACTTATCATACAACAACAGGCAACAACAGTGATAGCGTGATAACAACAAAAGTAATTAGTAATTTTAATAATACTTATAATGATCGCTTACATGTAGTGGTGCATCGTCGATATATTTATTTTGTTGTTCTACATTTAATAATTTTTGGAATCCTCTAAAGTGATACGCCCATGGAATCGCATTCCTCGCCCGCCTTACGCACAGTCTAAATGTTGAGAATGAGCCACTGCCAACTATTTTGGACATGAAGTTTAAATACCTCACAGAACTAGTATAAGCATAGCCTTCAAGGTGTTCGCCACATCTTTTTCTGGTCTCTAGCCTTAACAGTAGCCACGAATAGATACGTCAGCAAAGGGGCGTGATCGCTACTAGCTCGAAGGGAAAACTTATGACATAACCTCAACAACAGCCGAATATTTGTGGTGTATACAAGACACGTATATGTCCTCATTTTTTTTGTGGCTAGAGTTACCGCAAAGACCAGGGAACGCCCCGTGCTGTGGAGGGGGTTAGGTATCGACACATGTTTAGAATGAAATGCTTGCTTGCCTTCTGTGGGTAGCGTAGTTGCCCGAAATGTGTCCCATGCCGTCACAGCTAATGGTTGGGCACTGAATCAGCTCCTTACCGTCCCTGCCTCGAGTACAGGGCCGGACGCCGGCGAAGCTAGGCCGCAGCGGGCTGGCGCTAGTAAAAGCCGTTAACATCAGTGAGGGGTGTGCCGGGATACAGGGTGTGTAATAATGTTAAAATAACGTGAAGGTTCTATAAAATCTATTATCTTTCTTAAAACACTTTAATTGTTCTCTGATGATGCTGACTCTACTAGCGAAATGTATGTTTTGCGTAATACTCATTATGACTTTAATTTTTATGAGAAAAAAACAATATGTCCCGCGAACTAATGAGGGAGCAATGAACATAGCAGAATTTTTTATAACTTGCGACATGTTTTTAAAGTAAAAAATAATTAGATAAACGTTACGAAAGCATGGAAACACGTACGTTTTTTTTGTTTGTCAAAATTCCAATATCATACTCGAAATGTTGAGTTCAAACATGAAATTTCGTGTTTGGACATGAAATTTCAAGTTTAAACTCGAAAATTCGAGTTCAAGTTCAAAATTTCAAATTGAAATTCGAAATTTCAAGTTAAAATAAGAAATTTTGAATTGGAATAAAAAATTTTAAGTTGGAACAAAATATTTTAAGTTTCAATTTGAAATTTTCAGTCTGAACTCGAAATTTTGTGTTCAAATTTGAAATTATCTTCATTAATAAATTATAACAGTACGAAGAATTAAAGAAATTTCAAGTTGAAACTCGACATTCTCAACATTTTGTGTTCCAACTCAAAAATTCCTGTTAGAACTCGAAATTTCAAGTTCTAACTGGAAATTTTAAGGGTGAGCGTGAGCTCAAAATTACAAATTGAAATTCCAAATTTTAAGTTCGAATAAGAAATTTCGAGTTGGAACAAAAAATTTCAAGTTGGAACAAAGAATTTCAAGTTTCAACTTGAAATTTTGAGTCTGAACTCGAAATTTCGTGGTTGAACTTGAAATTGTCTCCATTTATCATTAATAAAACATAGCAGTACAAAGAATTAAATAAATTTCAAGTTGAAACTCGACATTTCGAATTCAAACTCAACATTTTGTGTTCCAACTCGAAAATTCCTGTTAGAACTCGAAATTTCAAGTTCTAACTGGAAATTTTAGGCGTGAGCGTGAGCTCAAAATTTCAAATTGAAATTCCAAATTTCAAGTTCGAATAAAAATTTCGAGTTAGAACAAAAAATTTCAAGTTTCAACTTGAAATTTTGAGTCTGAACTCGAAATTTCATGGTTGAACTTGAAAGTGTCTCCATGTATCATTAATAAAACATAGCAGTACGAAGACAAAGTACAAACTCGAAATTTCGAATTCAAACTCAAAATGTTGTATTCCATCTCGAAAATTCCTGTTAGAACTCGAAATTTCCAGTTCGAACTGGAAATTTTGAGCGTAAGCGCAAAATTTGGAGTCGAAATTTGAAAACAAAGTGTAGTCAGCCTATACGCATTTTAGCTATACCTACATTTTAACATTAGCTTTTATATTTCACTAAATTCAAATCAAGTAAAAAAATGTTCCTAAAATTATTATCTGATGAGTGCTTTCTTATGGTCTTTGATTTAAATGAATGAATTAATGATAATGTAAGACACAACTTCTCCGCGGACTAAAGCCCCGTTTACGATTTATCTTTGACATACAGGTGATGTTAAAAATAAGAAAAAAATTGAATGTTTATTTCAACATGTCAGGTTTTTCCCTTAATAATATTTGGATAAATTATTTTAAATTTGTCTAGATGAGATACCACGGTTACTAGACATTGTGGGTGTAATTCAATACTGAACGGGGTTTTAGTTTGCAGAGTAGCTGCTACAAAATCATTAATTAGCAATTGAAAGCCTGTATTTACACAATTTATATAGGTACTGTATGTTATTTTTAGCATACCTAGACCTTGGCGTCTTTTAAGAGTTGATTTGAAATAGCTTAATATTCTGTATGTTGTTATAAAAAGTGGCTCGATTGATATTGGAGGTTAGCATTACACATTAGAAACAAAAAAAATAATGGAAAACGTTTTGTTTCTTTGAAATGATTTTGTCATTTACTAAAAATAAATGAATAGTAAGTACTTCATTTATTACTTGTGAGACTTGACGTAACTATGTGTAAATACATTTTGTAAGGTGATGTAAATGCCTCTGGTAAGAAAACTGTTTTCTGAAAAGTTTTTTCAGTAAACAAGACACAGATGTGTGCCCGTCCTATTAAAATAATTTCTATTAATATCTCGCCGAACTGAAAATAATTTCAGTGTCGCTTGCAATCTTTAAATTTATGTATAATCTTTTTAGAATTATATAATTACCTTTTGAAATCCATATATAGCTCCCGATGCAACTAGTAACTAACCTTAAATTTAAAACAACGCAAACTGAAGTACTACCGACGAATATATTCGTAAAACGTTTACGTTCACATTGGGAGCTATGATAAACACCAGATAACAACAATAAATAGACGTCTACGTTTTCTTTAATGTCTACCTTGCAACACATGATTGATAAAATGTGGTATTTACGTCGCGTTGATAAGCCGTGTAGCGTTTACACATGTAGAATGGGAATATAACTGAAATATACAGGGTTAACTAAGAATTCAATTTTACATCAATATTTTTTTACCAAAATTCTTGAGCCATTTATGTAATTACCGTTTTTATTTTTATTTGAGACGTGCACACGGGCATATGATTTTTAATTTATAATTGGATCTTACTAACCTGTCTTTATTTGGCGACTTGTCGTGCTGCGTCAAAGAGTGCTGTGGTGGGGGCATGGAGTAGCAGGCGCCTGGAGAGTATCCACCGGGTGGTGCGGGATAACCCGTGGTGACGGCTCCAGGATATCCGCCGGTGCAGGAATATCCGCTGGTGGGGTACGGCGTGTAGGGGTTGGAAGTGTAGTCGCTGGCTACCGTCGTCATGCCGTAGCCTGGGTGAGGGCTCATGGGACCGTAGCCTTCAAATTATGTAGTTAGATAGTGCTCTTGTTATAAGAGAAGGTCGTCTAATTTTTATTGTTAGATCAGTGGACAGTTATAAGGTAATAATGATCCTATCAGTTATTTTAGGAACATTCTAGTTAGAGTGCGCTTTTGTTTTGGGAAATGGTCATCTAATTTTTCTTATAAAATCAGTGGCAAATATCAGTACAGCTTAACTAAAGTCATCTTGCCCGCGAGTTTCAGATGTACACTGGCAACGTTACCAGCCTAGCACCGGAGCTCATTTTTCACTCAACCTGAACCTGCAACAACTAAGGTCTCGTGTTCTTTGTTACTCTCTTCTTACTCTGCCCATCTTGCGGAGAAGATGATTTTGATCAAACTGTATAAGATAGTAATGGTTGTACTATTTACTATAGTTTTAGGCAAAAGTTAAAGACTAAAGCCAACCACAATGATACTTTTATTAATTATGATTTAAGTATCTGAATGCCGTAGTTTCACTTTTGTCGCTATAGAGGGCTATTTTAATCTAATCATATCGTTGGAATTGGGAATATCTGAAATTGAGTCGAGTTTGGAGTATCATCAAATATTATTTTGAAGAATGTAAAGACAGAAGATGTTCTTAAATCTTGTTGGAGTTAATGTTTTAATAATCTGACTGATTGTTTCCATAAATTATATGACCATAACTAATGATGGAAATTACGCACTGCCTCCAATTTTGAAGGTAGATGAGCATGATATACCGTTTGTGATGGAAGATGGGTACCACCTCCATGATGGAAGATAGGTACTACTTCTCCGTTTGGAGATAGATGCTCTGTAAAGTCCGTACATTAACCGTACATGTAAAAATCAGGGGCGGATTCAGGACGTATAAAGAAATGATGAAATATCTGTTCTAGAAGGTCAGGAATTAAACTGACGTCAGTTGTTAAAATTCTGTTTGTGTATTAAACAATTTTCTTTTGCACTTCTGTTAGCTCTTACATCTTTTCATTTCAGTATAGCATGTAAGAAACTTTCGAAATATTTTTTAAATAGCCTTTCGTATCTGTATCGTCATTAATTGAGTGTCAAAATAAAATAAATAAATATATAAACGCGTTGCAGAAAAAAATGTATGTGATAATTTGACAGTCTGGGCACAGCTTTAATGAACACTCCATATATGCGATGAGCTTCAGCAAACAAAAACTGTACAGGGGTATTTACATAATATTCTACCCTCCTTATCTCCTTAATCTTTTTTGATATTACATCTAAAAATGACAAAGACTGAAGTTCTAGGAAATTTCCTTGTACATACATAGTCTAGATAAGCTTGAACCGGTGTTTAGGTGTGTTTCCTTGTTAAATTTACAAAATAAATATTTAAATTCTCTATTTAGAAAAAATATTTTATTTTAAAATATGTTTATATACCTTCACCCTGTTGTAGACAAAGGACATATATTCCAAGTAACTTTTTTTATAATGCCTTGTTATCTACCTCATTCAATATTTTCTCTCATAGTTATATAAAGTATTAGATCGTTCTCTGTTTACTTAGAATCCCTTATAGAAAGAACTACATGGACTACTTGCGGTTCATAAAATTATTTAAAAAAATGTCATTTGTCTAGAACAATGTGGGGTTCCTTTAAAACACCTTTGAAGTATAGCATTTTTTCTTAATAAATTATTTAAATATGTGTTAAGTGTTTTAGTAATTTAATAGTGAAAAAGCATAAATATAACACTTGCTTCTTTATATATTCCTTTAATATCGAAATAAAATTTCATAAAACTTTAGTCCTTATCATTTTTTTCTAGATGGAAGGTTAAAAAGATAAGGGGGGCACTGAGGTCATCAAACCAACTACTTTTTGTAGGACGCAAATAGTGTCATAATAGTTCAATACAATCATAGTGGAATGAAGAAAGAGGTAAGTGGTGCCACGTTGTATGATTTTTTATTTTCGATAAAAATACGTCTCTTTTTTCTCACATGTTGAGTTATATTAAAAGCGCTTCTCCAAGAAAACAAAAAAAGTTATGCTGAGTAATGAAAAACAAAGTACGCCTCTGGAATGTCCGATTGATGTACGGACTTTAATTATCCGTGATGGAAAGTAAGTAATACTTCTAACTTTGGAGGAAGATGACCCTGAGAGTGATTAGTATCAGAGATGGAAGGTACAGGCCATCAAATACAGCAAAAATTCAATTTTGTCACATCTACAGATACGAAGTAAATATAGCTATCACAGATCGGATGCATGTAAGCTGCTATTAAGAAATCATTTTGAATTTTCACACAGTCAAGTACATTTATTTTATTTCAAGACTATTTAGTTATTATTATAGTATTTTAATTAATAGTCCAGGCGCTAGAGCAGTAAAAGTAGGCTTTGGCGTTTGTGTTTGAGAAATCATCTATTTTGTTGTACAATCCCAAATATTATGTAGAATAAGAATCTGAATTTGCCTATTCCAAAAAACCATTGCTAAATTCAGGGGAACGACAAACATACAAAAAGAACGAAAAATTTAACCGTTTTTCGATATATTTTTCCCTGTAACATCGAGTCATTCTTTATTTTTTGTTTATTTGATGAAAATTCCCCGGGCGATAAATAATTGTTTATAGAGTAAAATGTTGAAAAATTAAAAAAAATTCTATATGGTAATAAAACCAAAAAAAATAGGTATTTTTAGTATTGATCATTGTTTATTATGACAACAAATATTTCTAAAAAATTGTGTGCCCTTTCTAAACCTTAACATAAACCCACAGTCGCCATAAACTTTTTTAAATTTTCTTAATAAACAATCGAAAACCACGCGATCGATAGTTGCGAAATTTTTAGGGTAGAATTGACATATGTTTTACTATTTGTTCACAAAGTTTCATCAAATATACATATGATTTTCTACTATTTTTTGCCCATTGTTACTGCAAAATTCATTATTTTTTGATTCGCAGTTATTGTATCTTTATAGAAAATCGTCAAATAAACAAAAAAATATAGAATGATTTTTTTTTATTTAAGGCTTACTTTCAATGTTGCAAGGAAAAATATGTAATAATATGTTGAAAACCGGGTTATTTTTCGTTCTTTTTGTATGTTTGTTGTTCCCCTGAATTTAGCAATGGTTTTTTGGAATAGGCAAACTCGGATTCTTATTCTACAGAATATTTGGGATTTTTCGTTACAACAAAATAGATGACTTCAAATATTGAATCCTTGAATCCCTGGACTATACCTAAAATTTTAGCCTTTAAGTTTTGATTGGACAATCACGGGAAATTATTGTTAATGCCATACAATCTCCATACTAGAACTCATAAAAGTACAGGAATAATAAAAATAAAATACCAGTTTAATGAAGGTAAAATCCTGGGGAAAAATGACGTCACTATCACCAACTTCACCAGCGCCACATAAAAAAGTGTATTGGATCGTATGCCAAAGTATATCGATTCGCTGAATCCGAATCTAAAGTCAGAATTCCAAAATAACTTCGTATTTTTACCCTAACATCAAAGAACTTCTCTAGAAAGCGGTTTTCAAGATTTCAAGCCATTTGAGTAGTAGGTAAGTGATTCGAAAAAACATTGGAATCCATGATCTCATTGTACCATGACCCTCAAAACTCATAACCCTACAACTCCACAACACCATAACCCTCTAGACTGATAACCCCTTAACTTGTTTTTCCAATCGCTAACTAATCAAGTCAGTGTGAAATCTCTCAAAACACGAATTCATCCAGGAATTCTGACTTTAGATTCAGATGGTGCAAGTACCAAGGGATATCTTGGTCTGGTTCATAGCCCATCACACTTTTTTTTATTGCGCTGATGGTAATTTGAGGCTTATTTAGGCTTTAGTAACCGTATGATAAATAAAGAGAAAAAAATCTAAGCGTATCATTATTATCTTTTATAATAAGATTAAAATACATTTAACTGATTCCCAAAACAACGCAATTAAGTCCGTACCAGCCTCGTATTGGAAATCTAATCCTGTTAAAACCCAGGCAGACGTGTCATCTTTTCCCTCTGTATGTGTCTACTTTTTTCTTAGCGCATGTAGCGCCTTACATTCGGGGCTTTTTCTACATTTGATGACCTGTATGTACCACCTTCAATCATGGAGGTAGTACACCCTTCAGAGATCGAGGCAAGGTGCAATATCCAACCTTGGGGGTCTTACCTGCCGGGTCCCTGTAGGCGTCCATGTAGTGGCTGCCACCGGAGTCAGGGGTGGACTCCCTGCTGTATCCGGAGCCTGGCGCCAGCACGGGCCCTCCTGCGAAGGTCGCCACCGGTCGGACGCCACTGAAATTAACGGGTTCATTTGCGGTTGAGAAATCGACAGGTTCCGTTTGCTCGTCCCGCGGGCCGTGGGGGGGCGGTACCGGTACAGCTTCACCGTGGCCGTTTTGGTATTGTGGGTTCGGATCGCTGCTAGAAATAATATCATTGGCGATTTTAACAATGGTCGGCGGACCCCCTGGCTCTAGGCCGTCACTGCCCAGGGGGAAATTTTGACCCGACCCCGGACGACGGGCTCTTTCAAAGAAATACTTAACTTTTACTATCTTTAAAATTAAACGGAAAAACAAAATGTTTTTGAGTTTTCTTTTGTTATACAGGGTGTCCGGTAAGTACCTCCTAATTTCTCGGGAGTGTATAGGGAGGTCAAAATAAAACTAGTCCTTCCTATAATTTTTTTTCCTAATGTGTCCCCTAACGGAGTTATGGGGGGTCAAAGGGGTACCTAGAAATTAACGTTTAGGGTTATAACATTGAAACCACCCTGTATATTTTAATAAAATTTTCGTACGTTGTATTACACATGGAGCTCTACGATTTGATGCTAAAATCAACTTTTTGCTATTATCAGGTGTCCAGAAACGGACTGGCCCTATCACAATTTTTCTCAAAATTTTGACAGAAGTAATTTTATCAAACTGAAAATATTATTATTAGATACTCTGAAGGTTTTTCTTTAAAAATGGTACTCTTTATTTATTTCGAAAAAATGAACGGTTTGCGAGATAAATCGGTTTTGAAAAAAATTGGTAACAAAAACAACAATTAAAATTTATTTTTTTTACATATTATTTCATGCATTTAATTTCTTTAACTTTATCAAGTCCAGAAATCTTTGAACGGGTTGGCTATACTTTATGAGCAAGTAGTGACCAATTAAAAATAACATTTGAAAAATAACTTACTTACAAGACATGCAACAAAGAACATTCAACAATGAACAAAGGTACCTAAATGTTACTTCGGTAGATGTTCAAAATGAGCACCCCGTACTTCAATGCACTTTCTAATCCTACGAATGTTTTCCCGGTGCACTTGAAATAATATTCCGTGATTATTGCGGAGATGGTCACAGTTCTGTGTTAGCCTCAGCAGAAGTTCCTCTCTACTATTTACGGGTGTTGAATAAACGTTATTTTTTAAATGACCCCACAGAAAAAAGTCTAATGGGTTTAGGTCGGGCGACCTAGGTGGCCATAATACAGGTCCGCCTCGACCTATCCATCGATCACCAAAAACATTCGTCAGATGTTGACGTACTAAACGATCAAAGTGGGGTGGTGCACCGTCATGCATGTACCACATTTCAGTTCTTATTTGAAGGGGCACTTCTTCTAACAAAATATTTAGATTTTCCTCTAAAAATTGCAAATAAAGAGCACCATTAAGTCTTTGCTCCAGAATAAATGGACCAATCAAATGATTCCCGATAATGCCAGCCCACACATTCACCATAAACCTTTGTTGGTAGCGAGTTTGAACTAAAGCGTGAGGGTTTTCTTCATCCCAGACATGTAGATTATGCGAATTAATTATGCCGTCTCTTGTAAAACCTGCTTCATCGGTGAACAAAATAGATGTACCAAAATTATGATTCCGAATATGATGCTGTAAAAACCAATTGGCGTATTGAAGTCTTTTTGGATAATCATCTGGAGACATAGCATGTACTTTTTGGATGTGGTACGGGTAAAGCAATTGTTCTTTCAGAGTTTCATGTACAGCCCATTTTGTAACATTGTTTTGCGCCGCAAGCTTCCTTATGCTATTTGAAGGATTATTAGCAACGTCTTCCAATATTTGTTCCTCTACATGAGGGTCTCGTACTCTCCTCGGGGCTCCTGCTCCACCACGGCGTGGCAAAAAGCTTCCTAAATAAAGGATTCGGAAGAAATTAGTTTCACTAACGTTTTTCACTATTTTTTTTTACCTGTTTCTCTTAAACTACGATCAACTCTTTCAAAAGTTTTTGGACTCGGCAAATGTCGACCCGGAAACCTTTCCTCATAAAGTCTTCTTGCCTCCACGGAGTTGCATAATGCTTCCCCATAAATTAGGTGCATATCAGCATATTCTGCACAGGAATATTCTTCCATTTTTAAATGTTATTTCTAACGGCTTAAAACGAATACCACAATAAAATTGAATTTTTATTCTGTCACGCGCCTTTGACAAGTACTTTAAAATCAACAGGGTCTAACAACGAAAACAATAGAAAAGAACTCCATGGAGACAAGAGCAATAATAATTTGTAGATGTATTTTGGTCATAGATGTTGATTTTACAAGAAACGGCATTATTCATTCCCTTAATTCACCACCAGTAAATGTTTATGGTGAATCTGTAGGCTGGCACTAGCGGGAATGATTTTATTGTAAAAAAATAAATTTTAATTGTTGTTGTATTTGTTACCAATTTTTTTCAAAACCGATTTATCTCGCAAACCGTTCATTTTTTCGAAATAAATAAAGAGTACCATTTTTAAAGAAAAACCTTCAGAGTATCTAATAATAATATTTTCAGTTTGATAAAATTACTTCTGTCAAAATTTTGAGAAAAATTGTGATAGGGCCAGTCCGTTTCTGGACACCTGATAATAGCAAAAAGTTGATTTTAGCATCAAATCGTAGAGCTCCATGTGTAATACAACGTACGAAAATTTTATTAAAATATACAGGGTGGTTTCAAAGTTATAACCCTAAACGTTAATTTCTAGGTACCCCTTTGACCCCCCATAACTTCGTTAGGGGGCACATTAGGAAAAAAAATTATAGGAAGGACTAGTTTTATTTTGACCTCCCCTATACACTCCCGAGAGATTAGGAGGTACTTACCGGACCCCCTGTATAGTTTTAATTTTAAATTTTTTTTAATAGATATTGAAATTTATTTTTGCACTATATTTTTTATTTCAAACTTGTCAATGGCACAGAACTTGGCTTTTCGAGGAATGACATAATGGAGCGCCGAACTATTTTTGTTTTAAGTATTTCTTTAAAATTTCAAATAAAACTGTACCGATACATGTTAGGAATCTTATTGCTAGTCAAAAATTCTGATTGAAATAGTAGAAATACTATTGTTTTATACAGGGTGGTTCTGTCATAACGTCATTAATTTTAAGGCAAGATAGGGAAAAATGAGTAGAATACGAATACGCGATAAAACAAATTTTAAAATGCTTATTTATGCTGGAAGAAAAGAAAGACTTATCCAGAATAAATCTTGACCTACTCGTATATGCGGTCGTTAACCTAGCATTTAATGCCTTTTTAATCCGAAGGGCGCTACATCGAATCAAGACAGCTTGACACATGAATGAATATGATATTTTTTTACATTTTAAATATTAACGAGTATTATTTATTTGTTAATAAAAACAAATGTGTAAGGATAATAATTGTTTTCGAATGTTAGGTTAATACAGTTTAGTATTTTTAAGATTGTTAACGTATTACGTTTTATAATTGAATATGAGTTTTGAAAATTACATATATTCTAATTAATAATTCAGCTTGTAGTACGTATACCTTATTGTGTGACTTATTGCTTTTCAATGAGTATGGTACCTACCTATTTAAAATGATACTACGGCTAACAAAACACTCACTCATTAGTCCATAGCCTTGTTATTAAAGTTTTAGGATCCGTAGCACTTTGATTTTAAAATCAATTGCAAAATTCTGGACGACTGGGAAAAAACAGCTGTTTCGCTTCGACCTTCGAACGCTCTAATTCTAAATTTATTAAATTAGGTTTTTTTACTGCTTTTAGTGTAATTTTTACATGCCAATGAATTATTCATAGCAAATCTTTTTAATGGTTGCAATTGAAATATTTAGAATACTTTAGGAAAAAAGGCCAATAACTGATAAATATAGATGAGGTTAAGTTTGTAAATGTTATTTTTTATTAATGTTCAGCTTAGAAATCTAGAATTAATCTTTTCACGGAAGTAAATCAAATAATTGATTTTATTTTTGGTTTTTTACTAATTGCTGGAATTTTACTCGTTTTTGAGGACAAGAAACTTTTTTATTTTTTTTTGGGTTAGGTTAGATTTGGAATTCTTGAAATAAAATCCACATACTTTTTACGATGATAAACTATTAATATTTTGCGTCTATTTACCTATCAATAAGTATTATTGAATATTAAAACAATAATACTTTATATCTTGTTTTTAAGTTATGTTAGGTTAGGTTACGTCAAGTGTAAATTTTACATATAAACTTTTTAAATTTTTTTGGACTTTACTCTGATTTTTTATTGTTGATAATATTGATTTCACTAATGTTTAAGAAAAGAAACAATATCTTACATAAATAGTTAAAATGTTATTCAATTTATATTTTAGAGTAATTTTTCTCAAAAGAGCTCATGAAGGATCTCTTAGGAAATCCCTAAAGAAAGGATTAAAAAATCCATTTTGGACAATTTTTATAGGCTTTAGGTGTTTTTGGAAGTAATAACTACAAAATTAANTTGAAATCAATTGCAAAATTCTGGACGACTGGGAAAAAACAGCTGTTTCGCTTCGACCTTCGAACGCTCTAATTCTAAATTTATTAAATTAGGTTTTTTTACTGCTTTTAGTGTAATTTTTACATGCCAATGAATTATTCATAGCAAATCTTTTTAATGGTTGCAATTGAAATATTTAGAATACTTTAGGAAAAAAGGCCAATAACTGATAAATATAGATGAGGTTAAGTTTGTAAATGTTATTTTTTATTAATGTTCAGCTTAGAAATCTAGAATTAATCTTTTCACGGAAGTAAATCAAATAATTGATTTTATTTTTGGTTTTTTACTAATTGCTGGAATTTTACTCGTTTTTGAGGACAAGAAACTTTTTTATTTTTTTTTGGGTTAGGTTAGATTTGGAATTCTTGAAATAAAATCCACATACTTTTTACGATGATAAACTATTAATATTTTGCGTCTATTTACCTATCAATAAGTATTATTGAATATTAAAACAATAATACTTTATATCTTGTTTTTAAGTTATGTTAGGTTAGGTTACGTCAAGTGTAAATTTTACATATAAACTTTTTAAATTTTTTTGGACTTTATTCTGATTTTTTATTGTTGATAATATTGATTTCACTAATGTTTAAGAAAAGAAACAATATCTTACATAAATAGTTAAAATGTTATTCAATTTATATTTTAGAGTAATTTTTCTCAAAAGAGCTCATGAAGGATCTCTTAGGAAATCCCTAAAGAAAGGATTAAAAAATCCATTTTGGACAATTTTTATAGGCTTTAGGTGTTTTTGGAAGTAATAACTACAAAATTAACGGGAGTTAAGGGGAAAATTGCTTAATTTTTAAAAGGTCGAGCAAAAAATTTTTTTTCGATATTCTGTTTTTATGAGGCCTGCCCAATAGGTGATTAAAATTAATGTCATTATGACTGAATCACCCTGTATATACGAATAGCGTAATTTTATTTGTTAAATTACAGCTATTATTTACTACTGTTACATTTATTTTAAAAAATAGTAATGAAATTATACCCAGAAAAAAATAATTAACAATAATTAAAAAAAAATTATTTATAAATAGATTCAAGGTTTTCGTTAAAACATTTTTACACTGTTTGCTAATTTTAGATTCTAAGTTGTAATTGTAATACAAGATGTTTCGGAAATAAGTACAATAAATTTAGTGGGTGGTTCTTGCTCATATAAATAGTGTGAGTGACACTTCTTCGAATATTCAGTACTAACGAAGTTGTGTAGCCTTAAAGTTATTTTTTTATTCATATTTTGCCATAATTTTTATTCAATTACGTGATTTTATAAAATAATAATAAATATATAAAATTTTAAATCCTTAAAAGGGTTTAAATGCTAAAATAAGGGTTAAAATAAGTTTTTCAAGCAATTAAACAATTTGATAACAAAGATCATTTAAAAATCGTAAAAAAAATCCGCTTGTTCCAAATGTAATTTATTTTACATTCCCTGTGAATCGCCCTATTTATTGTAAGCGTTTTGAACCGTAATGAAACAAAATGTTCATATCACTTTTATTTAAATATGGAAAGAATGTGAGATAAACTGATATCTCAGGTAAAACAATTAATACCGAACAATCCAGAATGATTGAAGCTGACGTCACACGTAAATGTTAGCAAAGATATTAAAATTACTTCCCTTTGATCAAAATTACTTTCCGTTTTCTTAGACTTCCAACCGACACGATCGGTCAATTCAGAGACGTCCGTGCCACCCGTTTGTGCTTCTGTTGTATTTATTTGTGTTTGCCGATTGTGTTTTTATTTGAATTTTACGTTAATCTTCTAAATAATCAGTGTTTTTCAACGCTAATCATCTGTTAATTGTTAGTTTTGTGGTAAGGAAGCAAATATTGATGGTTTCTTAGATATAAAGAACTCGAACGGTTTTTGGTTAGAAAATGGTCCTTTCGTTAAAAGACGATAAATTCATTGTAGAGGAGTGATCAGCGAGATCAACATGGATGGAATTATTTAATCCATTCATGTTTTTTGCAATTCCAGTAAGTTTCCAAATCATGAAGCCGCAGATTATAACAGAATGTTCAACGTTTAGTTACACGATTCAGAAATACTGGCAGTGTTTGTAAAGGGAAGTCATCTGGAAGAAAGTCAGTTTTCACTGAAGATAAACTGGAGGATATTAGAAACCGTTTAGCAGAAAGCACCACTAAACCTTTACTACAACCACATATCTAACCTACAACTTTCAGCTCAGGTGGGTAAATATTTATAAAATGTTAAATATCAGTATTTAAAAATATTAATTATAGGAATGCCTATGGTTCAGTATACAGAGCTGTAAGAAAATTACATTAACATCCATATAAAGATGATAACCTTTTAGATATAACTTTTTTTTACCGATGAAGAATGGTTTCATCTTAGTGGTTACATAAATTCACAAAATTATCGTACGTGGTCTATGAAGAATCCATGTTGATGGAAACGACTTTACAACCTGTTAAAATAGGAGTTTGAGTAGCCATATTTCGCCGAAGAACCTATCTTCTTTAAAGATAATGTTACTGCTGATCGATATAGACAAAATATTTTGCAGGCATTTTTAAATTAGCTACATGGTCACGAAACGCATAATGGTTACTTTCAACAAGATGGGGTAACCGCAGACACAGCTAATACAACACTGGGGTTCCTAAGATAATTTTATGATGATCGTATTATTAGTCGAGGTTTATAGCCTCCAAGATCTCCGGATTTAACTCCCTTAGTTTAGTATTTCTTCGGAATTAAAAAATTCCATTTATGTAAACCGTTTACACACAGTGGATGAACTAAAGGACGTCATAACAAATAAATTAGTTAATATTACATAAAATAAATTACATACTGTATTTAACAGTTTAAGGAGACTAGTAAATCTATGTATACAGAACGAATATTCATTATAAATACATCGTAATTAAAAATATTAAATATTTTTATTCTTCATTTTCAATGCTTAAATAGTTGTTAGAAATTATAACAAAGTAATTACAAAAATTATTATTAGTGGTAGGGACAGAATTTCGATCAAAATTAAAAGTACGTATTCACTTCTTTTTAACTTTAAACCAATAAATCAATCGTATTTTTTTTATTAAAAGGAATATGTGACCCTATTGCCACTATACTTAACCCGCCACTGAACGAAGTAAATCACTGTCAGTGTTGCTAACTACGAAGAATGAAAATAATAGAAGAGTGGCACACAAAATATTTGTAAGTAGCGGCACCATCAATCATTCTGGGTCTCTCGGCATTTTGTTATTATTACTAATTTTAAATTTACCGCCTAATTACATTACAAAAAGAGAGACATCTGTTAGCAGTTTTGTGAGCTTAAACACATAGTTAACTCCAGGAAGACAATTTGTGCAGGAAGGTAATAGCCTTTTATCTGTGTTTTCTATAGTATGACTGGTGCAAATCAAATATATAGTCTATGACATAAGAGCATTAATTAAAGTTAAGGTTAACCTAAGCGTAACTGGTTCAAACGGGCGTAATGTGTATTATGTATAGCAACGCAAAAAACTAAAAAAAAAAGAAATCGTACAAGGAAATGTTAAAAATAAAACTAAAAGCCAACAAGACCGGGTACGTACATAATTTAAACGAGCAAAATTTAGAACCGACCATTCTGCCCGTAACTCCACCAAACTAGTAACTAACTACCCGTCTAATACCCGCGGAATACTCCAACCGACTTGCGGTGGTGGCGCGGCTGCACGCTTAAACAAAGAATAAATAAATAATGTACCCACCTGTGGGAGAGCCGGCTAACGCTGAGGTCCAGCGTCTGGCCCTGGGGGCTGGGCACCTGGGGGCTGGCGGAGAGGTGCGGGCTGGGGGCGGCCTGTGGACTGCCGCCGACCCGCTGGCCCCCATAGTGCGGCGAGCTGTAGGCCACCTGGAAGTCACAGACGTGTCACGTGCTTAATTATTCATAATGTGCTGTTCATTATAACTTTTTCTGTCGTGAAATATGCACCGCAGGAAGTTGCGGATCGAGTTTGTGACTAAAATGGTAGGGGTACGTGTGAGGGGAAACTCATAAAACGAAGGACAGTAGAGGAAAAGTTATGCCACTAATCAAATGTTATATACAATATACGTAAAATATTATATTTTGAAATAAATGCGTTCCAAAGGACGTGAAAGTAAACTATTTTCATTAAGCATAGTAGTCTAAAATGTTATGGGTGTCAGACAATTAATCAAGAATTATTACGCGAAACCTAGGCCGACCCTATATTGTCCCACTTGCTAAACTGATTAACTGTTTACAGTGTATAGAAAGTAACAAGTTTATTGTAATTATCTGTACAGCGTAGGCACGGACATGTCTTGCTTGCTTTCGAGTTACACGTTGCTTTAAATTAAAATTTCAAAAATTACTCCAAAAACAACAATCCCAGAGCAGTACAAAACGCTGTTCGAAGACTGTAGCACACCCGTAGTGTGAACCCATCGTTTAAAGGTCTTGTACAAGCAAACTATCTTAAATGGGGAGGAAAACATTTTTATCCTGTCGGGGAAAACCTGAGCCTTAGTACCCGCGATATTGCACGTGAAATAGGTGTTTCAAATACAACGGCGTTGTATGTATTACGGGAATAGTTACTGCACGTTTATCATATATGTCTGCAGACTTTGACTGCTACTGATGTGATGCTAATGCACACGTTGTACAATTCATGTTTCCAGTAGCGATTTTCAGTGAATGTGTTATTTATTTAGTGACAACTTAGTTGGACCAATTGTGTTATAGTTTTTCCGATATTAATTGAAGAACCAACAGATTGATAGTATGTACCAGGTTCGGTCGCTGACGCAGCAACTTGGCATTGAAATATTTGAAAAACTTGTTCCCATATTTATTTAGCCATACCCATATACAGGTCTGGTTGAACTAAACGTGGAGGCGATAGAAATGTATACGCTCAGTTGAAGAATGCGAGCGCGGGCAAAGGAAAACGATTACAGTTGCATTGGGCTACTAGGCAATAAATCACAGCAGATGACAAGTGGTTGATAAATTGCCCAGCAGTGCAGTGCAGCAATGCAGAATTTGGCGCGATTCAGGTAATTTTAATTTATTATAGGCACCTTCTATTCATTGCGAAAGGGAGAAATAAGAGGTATATTTTGTTTACTAATATTATCACAACATGGCATTTTGGAGACCTTTTGAAACGGAACAAAACGAAATTTACCACCAATATAATAAAATTGTTTGAAGACATAAATAATTGAAATATGTTGTTGGCCAAATGAACATATAATAGAAATTTTCTACACATTATATACAAATTATTATAATTTTTTACTTTTAGCAGAAAATTTTTTTAGGGACGCCTATGAAACTCATTGAATTTTATTACCAGACGATTTTTTACATGTTCAACTGCCTTGGGAAAGACTATACCTTCATGTTTAAACGGTACATTTTTTGCATATTTTCGTTTGGGGATATACATCTAACGCCCATTGATAGTTTTCAATAGCGTATTTTTTCTGCAGTCGATGAAATTAGACTGAAGTATAGTAGGCATGCGAGATAATTTTCATCGCTGTTTAGTAGCATGTTTGTTAGTTTGTAGAAATAATTTCGAGCAATTTTTGTGGAATTAAGTACCTGATATAGATTTACGCCAAATAGTTTATTTCTATTATTTATAAATAAATTCAAGCCAACAAAAAAACCTTTAAAACAAAAAGTGCCTAAAAAAAAATTTTTATTTTCACATGCTCTATTACCATTTGAAATACAGGAACGCACTTACTGTATTTCAGAAACAACCTTTTATTGCATATTTTCTGTATGATAATTAAAAATTTTTTATCAGTAATCTTGTAAAATAATGTTGTTTCAAAATATACAGTGCGTCGTCGAAATTTGGGTTTTCCTCTTAATACAGTTTATTTATTTTGTGTAGTTTGAAAAATTTTAATTCTGTCCTGTCCTTATTACAAAGATAGAGGTTGACCTCGTTGTAAACATATTTAGGATGAAACCTTATCGGAACATTTTACATAACGACGCGATGCCCCTGTAGCGTTCTGCTGACAATTACCGTAAATTAACGACATACCAAGTTCATTATTGACATATATTGCACCTTAACCAATATTTTTGACAAAAAAAATGTATGCCACTGACTAACTTTTATAATTTTTTCGCATTAAGTAACTAAAAATACAAGTTTTTTGTGTCTTAATTTTTTTATCTTGCTTCCTTTTTGAAGAAAAAAAAATAAAAATCACTTTAATGCATGTCCCTGGGACAACATAATAAAAAATTAAAAATATATTTTTGTTTTATTAATTATTAAAAAAAAATCAAGAGACTAAAAATTAATATTTTTAGTTGTTTAATACGAAAAAAAATATATAAAAGTTTTAAATCAGTGGCGCACATTTTTTTTGTAAAAAATATTGGTTAAGGTGTCATCGGGACGCCACTGGACATAATAATTTTAATCTAGTTAGGGCTAAGTTAGCCCCTATCTACCACAATTAACACTGCCACATTTCAACCAAATCGACTAAAGGATTATTAAAATTTTTATGAAAAAACGATTTTTTAAAGAACTTTTACACCCTTTATCTTGCAAACCACTCAAGGAATCACCCGTGGAAGTTTGGCCACGTACTTAAATAACACCCTGTATGTAAGGAAGCTTCTTTTGTAGTAAAATGAAAGCTTAATCTAAAAAATAATTATTTTCAATCTAGTCAGTGGAGCAATATTTCTTTAAAGTGGGGATTGCACGTCACTGAGTTTTACTATTCTGATTCCTCACAGGAGTCAATAACATTAACTACATCAAATTTCAAAACAATCTGTTACTTCGCTGTTCCGGAAATATTAAGAAAATACTTTTTTTTTTATGAACAAGTATTTATTTTTTCCATCTAATTATTCTTTAACCTTGTATACAGGGTGTTCTGAAAATCCGTCAGGAAACTGCGGGAGGTGATTCTACGGACAACGGAAACAACGGAAACAACGGAAACAATAGCAGTACCTATGTAATGAAAATTTTTTTTCGAATTGTGAATTGTTTGAAAGTTACAGCTTATCAAAGTTCAACGTCAAAAAGTATAGAATTTTTTCTGATATTGTTTATCTCTTCAATAATGTGATGTCAATATGTGTCATGTGATGTTCAATAATGTTAATTTCTGTGATGTCTAGCAAGAGAAAAAAGTTGTGAAGAAAACAAATTTTGCGTTCTGGGTAAAGTGCCCTCTAGCTGTGCATAATAAACTTTTCTCTGACTAGCCCAATAGAGCTTCACCTACTTGGTGGGTGTGCCAACTGAGAGACTAATCGAACTTGAATTAAATAAGTTATTTAGATAGAAAAATAAAAAAATAAAATTTTGGCAAGTTCTAACTTGCAAACAGTTGACAATTCGAAAAAAAATTCATTACATATTGTTAGTTAGTTTAATCCGTAGAATCACCTCCCGGAGTTTCCTGACGGACTTTCAGAACACCCTGTATAAAAAGGAATCCCAACCTTCAACAACACTTTACAAATATTAAGTTCATTTAAATGTATACTGGGTGGGGTGGGGTAAGGTGGGTATTCTTATCTATGAGAACCGACATCCGTGTCAAGGAACAACAGACTCACCTGCGGACTAGTGGTGGTGACGCTGGACGTCGAGAGATCGATAACACTGCCCCCAGGAGAGGTGTGGGGCCCTTTCATTTGAGCCTGGGCTGTTGTCACACATTTCACTGATAAGTTAATTGCTGAAAACCCCACAGGAAGGGGTCCGCCGCTGCCGTCGTACTGATACATCGGCCTGTAAATTAAATTCGTTCTAATTGGAAAAAATATTTCAATTGTATAGACGGAGGCGTCGTTAGCGTTTTCACAATAGATGTCATCGGGCTGGCGACCGCCATGAGGTCCGAATGAAAAGGGGTTTTGAATTTACGAGTGTCCAAGAGCAAATGAATCTGTTGCTGAAGGCATATAATGCGTTTTCATCGCCAGCGGATGTAAAATAGACATTCGAAAAAAGTTCTATACTATTCATTAATTAATTATTCAAATGTCGACACTTCTAGCAGCGACACCAACAAATTGTATTATACGGTAAGGGTGTTCAACCTTTCGGTAATTAAGATCGTCATATAATAAATTGCATTTTCATTTCGCTTGAAAAGATCGACCTAATTTTTACTTTTCTAGTGCAGCTATTTTTTTATGTAATTTAGAATCGATTATTTTTGAGAGGGTGTTGAATAATGTAACCCTTCAAACAAATGTCTTGTATTTTTGTTGACTGTGAAGTTGTATATTTTTTGCATGCTTAGATTTTTGATCTCGAAGATCTTTGCCCATCATTACTTGAACACCTTGACTAATGTCAAAACTGATGAGAAAAATTCTAAGAACTACTCACCTGGGATAAAGCGGCCCACTAGGCTCCTGTTCCTCAGTTTTCATCAGACTTTGAGTGTTCGCTACTGCTATCTGATGCTGAGCGGCCGCGACCTCCTGCTGGTACCTCTGCTCCTGGTGTTCCTCGATATATCCGTACATACCCTGTGGAGGTACCCTGGGTGGCCCTAGAGGTTGTTGGATCGACACGCATTGATTGGAATCGTACCTCTCGAAGCTGTTGGTACCAGGGTCGTACGGTCTGTGACTGGACGAATTTATCAGAGACGAATCGTACGATCGGTTCACTATTTCATTAGAGTAGGTCACTACTGGCCTAGCGATGCCGCCTCCCATGGAATCGTTCATGTCCGTGTACGACCTTTCGCGGTGGTACATCTCTTCTGACATTGGAGACTGGTGGTAAGGTGATCGATGAGGTAACTGGTGGTCTATGTTATACCTGTACAGTATATCAGACGGGGTAAGAATTTTTGGCGATCGTTGATGTAGTGAAACGATTTAGGCTTTCTTACTCACCCTGGTTGTTGTGGATTGTGATGGGGGCCCATGTGGTGCATCTGGTGTGGTCCTCTTGAGTTAATGGTGTCCATACTGGACATAGAAGAAGAGTTGGAGTCTTGGTTGAGGTATGGTTCGTAAGCAGATCTCATCCCAGAAGGTGGCGATCTGAAAGTCACTTTAATCAAAAGCAAATCCAAGGATAAAATAAAACTCTTCTATTACCTGCAAGAACTTGTGATCTCCGTTTTAGGTACCAAGAGTTCGCCCTGTTCGCTTACGCTACAGCAGTTCGTGGTTGTTATTTCCGTTTTGGGGATTTTCATGGCATCCGGTTTGATCGGATTCGTTTTGGAATTGTAATATTGGTCATACGAGGTTTTCTCTTCGGCGTTACTCACTGGAGTATTTCCATAGCCTACTAGATAATTGGGTTTGACGTCTTCCGATGTGGGGGTTCTTTTGCCCTCGTAGGAAGAAGAGAATTCACTTTGACACCCACCTTAGAAAGAAAATAATAGTTGAGGATTATAGTGTACGTAAAAAAATGGTGTTTAACTTAATTTTTTCGAACCAATGACTGATTTAAGTTAAAGTAGTAAGAAATTGCGTGAAATAACTAAGAAAAAAGCTCATGCGCCTTAAGTTGCGACGTAACGGAATAAAACTATCGGGTTCTTACCGCCAAATGTAGCAGTATGAGGTGACTTAATTTTTTGCTGTAAGCTAGAATGGTATTTTTGTTCTCTCGCTGCTTGTTTATTTGCAGCAGCAATGGGACATCCTGACAGACTCCTGTGCGAATTTCGGTTGGAACTGACGTGCCCTCTGCCGTTACATCCAGGTGTCGGGCACTTCAGGATGGTCTCATGCATGGCCAGGACTGCGTCACGGCAACAGAATCAAGATTGTAGCCAAGATCGCTAGTACAATTGGGATTTTTTGCTATAAAACTCTATTGAAATAGAATTATAGCCTATTGTACTAGCAGTTTTGGTTTGAGTATAATCAACTGTGTGTGAACATCGAAGGACCAAAAAACCAAACCAAACGAGCGGGTAGAGAGATAAAACAGAAACAAAAGAACACCACCTCGTGGTCTCGTTTCGATACACGATTTCCACACACAGGATTAGTATTTTATTATACTCAGTACTCTCTGATTCTGAATGCGTGAGGGTGCAAGGGATGACCAGTGGCGGCTCGTGGTGCGGGAGGCGCAAATCCTGAGATGTGCGCCCCCAGGGGATTGCAAGGGAGAACCGCCACTGGGGAGATGAAGGGTTGCTAACAAAATGAAAAGTTATGCTCTCTACCCCGCCAAAAAGCAAAAAAAAATGTTGTAAATGATAAAAAAGCATCCAAGGTGAATGATGGAGAACAGGAATATGAACTAAACAATGTTTTGGTGTATTCATAATATGATTATTTCTCTCAGTTTCAACGAAAACAATGTTTAGATCTGCTTCGGGAAGACTGTTACGAATCATACATAAATTTCTCAATCGAGACTTACTTTCTGGCGTTACTTCGCCTTTTCTTGGACATCCCGAAAGACTATTTGAAAAGATAGGTTAGTAAAGTGAATTTGGATGATATGATTTTGAAATTTACCTTCTGTGGTGGGAGTACAACCCTGTGACATGACCCTGTCCTGTGCACCCTGGGGTAGGACATTTGCTTCCCTCTAAAACAAAAAGAAAAAATATAGCTTCAGGATCACTTAAAAACAAATAGTTTTTTTATCATGCGTGTAATGACACTAGTTTTCTTTGGGATACAGTGTGTTGAAGTTTAAAAAATACAATTAATTTCAGCTAATGGTTTAAGTAATTCAAGCAAAAAATTTGGTGAATTGAGGGATAAATCTGTCAACCAGTGGCACAGATAATGAGAGACACTGTCACTAAAACCTTAATTATTTCAATGTGGTGTTTTTATAGTTTATTTAAAATAAGCTTACATACAGTTGAATAAATCTAAACTAACTCTAAAACTATTCATTTTCCAATAAAAATTTATTAAAATTTTGATTTTGAAATACAATATGAAAGCCATCATCCCCAATCTGGAAAAAATCATTGGCGTAAAAATAGTAATTTTGTTTATAGGTTTCGTCCCTTCGATACTGTTCAGAAGTTTTAAAATTTCAGCTGCAATGTTTTTTTTTTATATTTTTGATGATTTCATTTTATTCAAATTGTATTCAAAAATTCCTAATTAGTGATACTGTGAGTAACAGCTATTCTGATAACTCCGTCCAGCATTGAATTACATTCCCAATATCTGGTAAATAACTAATATCATTCGTCAACAGTATCACCAGACACAGACAATACTTTGCGGGTGATTTTGTTTTGTGAAACGATTAGTTTTTCGAGTTATTTTCAATTTACGTACTTAACTGTGTGCAGTATTATAATTTTACATAAAATAAAAGACATTCAATCTAATTTTGCAAAATATTTAATGGCATCGAATTTCTAAAGATCTGACATCCATTACTGCTTGACATACTACTTATTTGTTTACCTACGACCACTACTGTAAGTACTTAAAAACAAACTGTCTGCGATCAATGTAAGATTCCTATTACGTACGGTAAAAAAAACGCACAGTTTTCCTAGCAACTGCCTAGCAACGGCCAATACAATACTGTTTGTATTGACCGTTGCTAGGCGGTTACTAGGAAAACTGTACGATTTTTTTACCAAGCTGTGTGATTTTTTTACCGTACGACGTAATAGGAATCTTGCATTGATCGCAGACGGTATGTTTTTAAGTATTTAAAGTAGTGGGCGTAGGTAAAGTATAGTACGTAATACGTGGTGTAATGCAATTACGCACTCGCCGCTACGCGGCGTCGTGCGTATGCGTAAAATGCTTTTTACAACACTTATTACGTAATATACTATTATCGATTCATTACATTTTCACCTTTAATTAAATAAATCATCAGCCTGTTTATCAAGCTACGTCAAACATAGGTACATGTCTGCAAAAATATATTTTTTAAATTCCACACCATGAACATCCATTTATTAAAGCTTTTCATTTTAAAATAATGCAAGCATCAACTTCTTGAAATTGTAACTGTGCATATATTTAGAAAGCACCTTATTTTTTATTTTAATTAGCAGGAATTTACATTAGTCACTTTACATTTTAATATTTCGTGAAAATTTACTTATTTATTGGGTATAATAAACATAATGAATGTGAAAATTTTGAATTTGCAAAATATACATATTCTTATCAAAAATATTGAATTGGATGTACAAACAAATGTTTATATTTTTAGAACAACCGAAATTAAAATATTGGAGCATCTTTGTACTATCTTGTTATGATTTTAGTGAACTTAGCTCCAACACAAAATTGCGCAATTAGGACGAATTTTCTAAGAACGTTTGATATATTTCAAGATTGGAGCGTTTTAATCTTGTGGAATAATATTACATCAAATGGAGTGAACAAAGTTAAGATGTAAATCACGAAAATGACGGTACTGCCTATATCTGTAATTTGAATTTTAAGATTTCCATAAAATATTTGTGTTTCAGTATGGTTTTGTGTAAGAAAAAGCCTAAAAAAAATTAATATTGAATTGCTGTATCTTCCAAGAAAGTAAAATAATTTCAGCTTACTTGCCAATAAATTGAGATATCTATCTACATTGTTATTTCATTGCGATTAAATCAGTGTATTACAGATATACACTTTTGTGACTAACAACTATTATTGGCTCTCATTGGCATTGCCAATAAAACATTATAATGTAAAAAATGTTCTTAGTTCTAATTTTCTAATTCTTAAGTACTAAAGACGTTGTCATTCCCCAACTCTAATATTATTTAGAGCTATTCCAACGAAATAAAAGTTTGTTTTATAAGTATTTTATGTTTATAAACAGTTTTAAAATTTTAAACACGTAAATATTTTTTTTCGAATCCTCACATTTTTGTCGGATATTTTGTTCCCATTAAAATAACGCTAGCACACTGTCTATCAATCAACGTAATCCAAAATTTTCTTGAAATGGTTCATTATCTTGCTAACCCAAATACTAAATATTAGCACTAATTAATTCCCAGTCTTTGTTTTTATTTGTTAATAAATAAGTCAATATAAGCATTCTGACTTATGCTCCCGTGGCGGGTAACAGTACATAATTAAAAATTATTTCGGAGAAAAATATTAGATGAGACATATTTGATGGGACAACATTTTGGCACTTATTTCTTGGACAATGTCTAATATTTTACATACCTACACGGTGTTTTATGGCGAACTGTACATATCGTAATGGTAGAATGGAATAACCTAGCCAGTACGATAAGAAATGAATTAAAACGTCCTGCTTCAAAATTTAAGGTTATACATATTTGAATTTTCACGAAAACTTATTTTGGATACAGTTTTTGAAATATCTGTGGGAATTAGTTTAAGTTTTGGGATACAGTAAGTATACCACAAGACCAACAGACACTTGAAGTCAGAAAATTCCAGGATCATATTGAAAAAAGTTTATAGGTATTTTTCGTATGGTGTACCTACTACATGAACCATGGTTTTTATTTTTATTTTTTTTCACACTTTCAAAATATACAGGGTGAACTCCTCCAAGGGACTATAAATGAATAGGAATTTTTCAAGTACGGTCTTAGAACCATGAATTTTTGACTTGAAAAATTCATTTCTTTCGAGTTTCGATTTCATATTGTCAAATTTTCGTCGACTTCCCATTATTTTACTATCTGGCTACCTTGTAAAACGACTGGGCGTTTATAACCGACCAACAATGTGCGGTCAGATTGTGAACTGTGTAAAATCATCACTGTTCACCAAATTCCACTTGAAGCTTTCAATCGGTTATTATAACGTTTAAATCGTTTTAGTTTCTTTCATAAATATAAAATACACAGTTTTTATTTATAAATTGGCAATGAAAAAAATGTTATTTATAATTCAATCGATTTTAGAGTTAAATATTTTTAATGATTTAAAGCTGATACAGGTAGAGTACCAAAAATTTTCAAAGTGTTACTAAGAGATTTAAATGTGTAGTTTTAATTCTTTTACTACAAAAAACAAATAGTTATCTCATTTATGATTCCCGTAAATAAGCGACAAATTCTGTAATACCAGCCTAGACCGAGAACAACAAGAGTAGGCCGGCCAAGTATTTTTTTCTACTTAAAGCTTAGTGTAATGTAAGTCTATAAACGTAGCCCGAAAAACCAATTGTCGTTTACAACCAAGATCAAATCGGGAGATCTTAAAATTTATTAGATTTTCTTTTTGCATTCTTGAATTATGGATGTATTGTTATTCTGAATTCTGAAACCCTATTTGTATTACAACCTTAGAATTCTTGATATTTCCCAAAATTCTAACACCATATAAGAAGTATAAAAAAACAGTACTATTTCCAATGTTAGTTACCATACCAAGCAGGATTTTATAATTTAAAGTAACTCTAAGTACATCATCATAATTCAATAACTGAACAGAAAAATTATGATAAATTAGTCAAATTGATCTCTTAGAAGTCCCGATCTGAAATCAATGAATTTTTATTAGTTAACATTTGTTAACCAGTTTCTGATATAATTACGAAAATCATAAATATGTATGTCTAAGTTACACTGTAAAAAATTCACTCAATTTCACTCAATTTTGCTCAATAATACAGGGTGTGCCATTTAACACTTCCGCTGCCAACATCTCCGAAATGAAGAAATTTATTTTAGTTCCGAAAATTGGGTTTGTTAGATCCCTGGATTAGCTTCAAATTGTAGTTAGAATTGTTAGTTCAAATCTTTCTGTATAGATGGCGTGGCTAAAAAATTTTTTGATCACTGGAACGTGGAAGTCCATCTGAAAGATCGTTAAATTTTGAGTAATTTTTGTAATATAAAGCTTTCCCTATGTTTGCTTGATTTCGAGATATGTCGACTTCAATATGCATATAACAGGAAAATATATTATTTTATCTGAATCACACCGAGACAAAATATTCTTTTAAAATATTGTTATAATGACTTTATTCACACCACATACTAACTAACAAACAATAAATTATAAAAAAACAAATGATCAACTACAGAAAAAAATTGTACAATGGTAAATCGTGTAACTAGTTTAGTTAAATTGAAAGACGCAAACTGATAAAACTGCAATTATTGGAAAACTATGTGTCATCTGTCATTGTTTTGTTTTAAACAAATGACATGAGCCACCTATGACAGCATTTTTTAATAACATTTGATGAAATACGGTTCGTCTCTGCCCCTTATAAGATTTACCGTTGTATTTTTTTTTTCCTGTAGTTGATTATTCGTTTTTTTTTAATAATTTATTGTTTGTTAGTTAGTATTTGATGTGAATAAAGCCATTATAACAATATTTTAAAAGAATATTTTGTCTCTTCCTGTTATACATTGCATATTGAAGTCGACATATCTTGAAAACAAATAAATATAGGGAAAAACCTTTATTACAAAAATTACTCAAAATTTAATGATCTTTCAGATGGACTGTATTTCCACGTTCCAGGAAATAAAAAAATTTTTAGTATTGCCACGCCATCTATACAGAAAGATTTGAACTAACAATTCTAACTACAATTTGATGCTATTCGAGGGATCTAACAACCCCAGTTTCCGGAACTAAAATAAATTTCTT